CAACCGGTCCAATTCTTTGGACATGCCAGATGCGCTTAAAATGACTCGTTTGCTCGCTTTTGCCTCCTTTTCTGCATCCCTGACATGAGTCCTCACCATAGTGATGACCAAAGGGTCCGGGAGCCATTCAAATTCACAACCATACCTGTAGAGCCGGCGAAGCCGGTTGGCGGCAGATTCAAAAAGTAAGAACCATGGTTATCTTCCCTTTCTCATTTGGTGTCTCTCTCTTTCTCTTTTTTGGTCCCTTTTTCTTTCTCTTTATTTTTCGCTTCTTGTTCTTTCTTTTTCTCCTTTTCTTCCTTTTCTGCTTCTCTTTCTCTTCTTTCTCTTTCTGTTTCTCTTTCTCTTCCTGATTAGCTCCTCGGTCCTTATCCCTTTCTCTGTCTCTTTCTCTTCTCCTCTCGTTCTTTCAAGAATGCCTGTCAGTTCAAGAAAATGCTTTGCGTAGTTCATACTCCTCGTGTTTTAGGTGTTTAGATCTATCTAGCTATCTATTCTAATCTAACCTCATCTAATCCAACTTAACCTAATCTAATCTAATCTAAGCTAATCTATGAATCTATCAATACATCATATTGATCTCTCTACCTACCTACCTACCTACCTACCTACCTACCTACTTACCTACCTACCTAGCTGGCTATCTAGCTATCTATCTATCTATCTAAGTATCTATCTATCTATCTATCTATCTATCTATCTGTCTATCTATCTATCTATCTATTGATCTAGTCTAATCTAATCTTATCCTATCTTGTCTTATCTCATCTTATCTCATCTTATAAATCCATCGAGATCCATCTACTTCTCGAGATCTATCTATCCATCTATCTAGCCTATCTATCTACCCGCCTACCTATCTATCTATCTACCTATCTGTCTACCTTCCTAGCTAGCCATCGATCCTATCCACCCATCCGTCCATCCATCCATCCACCCATCCATCCATGTATTTGTCTATAGGTTTAATCTTCCTACCTACCGGTGTTTCTATATCGATTTATTTATCTATCGATTGATCGATCTATCTATCGATCTGTCATGGTCTATGTGTCTACATTCATATCTATCTATTTATCTACCTATTTATCTACCTACCTACCTACCTACCTACCTACCTACCTACCTACCTACCTACCTACCTACCTACCTACCTACCTAGCTGTATCTATCGATCTATCTTTCTATCCATCCAGATCTAGCCATCTATCTATCTCTCAACATGTCTATGTATCAGTGCTCCGAGAGTGCTGCGCCTGCCGCCGGGAAATCCGCACCTGACCTTGCGAAAGTGATGCGCCTGCCGCCAAATTCGTACCTGACTTGCAAAAGTGCTGCGCCTGCCATGAAGTATGCACCTGACCTTTTGAAAATGCGCCTGCCACGAAATCTCTGCGCCAGCTTGCACGTCCGTGCCAATAGGATTTGCAACACGTCCGTGCCGGCATTGTCAAAATCAAAGTGCCACGCCTGCCACGCAATCTGAACTTCAGTTTGCCGAAGTGCTCTGTCACGCAAAAACACCGTCATAAAAAGTGCACTCATCCGTGCCAATGGGCCCGGGTCCGAGCCCGTTTTGAGCTTTCAGCCCGCCGGGGGTCACTTTTTGTTCATCTTATCAATGCCCAAGTATTGTCTGGAACACGGAAGTTCCTTCTAATCTTCAATTGAACAAATAGCCCGTAATTTGTCGCTTGGATTGGTGGCTTGGGGGCTTGGCATTAGTGGCTTTTGGGTTTGCTTTGGTTTCCGCTTAAAACCACCCAAAAAGGGGGCACCGACTGAAAAATAGACACGCCCATATAGGGTCCTGTATTTCCATTTTCGGACCTCCAAAGTGGCGATTGTTTCAATAGAAACCACCAGTAAATTGATCAACTTGTGATTTGGGGAAATCCAGTCACCCCTTCGAACATAGGAGGTCCCTGTTTTTCTCGATACCACCCCCACCTTCCCCCCAATCGTGTTTTTCTTTTTGGCGTCCCATTAAAACCACCCAAACAACGGGTACCAGCTAGTTCCAGCTCAAAAAAAACAGAAATTCGAGCCACCCAAAAAAGGAACTTCCGGTCTTCTCGGATCCAAGGAAGGGGCAGCCCATCCGCTTCCCCGTCACCGTGCACGTGGACGCCTCGGTGCTGAGTTCTGACCGCTGGGCTGAGCCGGCGGAGTGCGTGGTGCGCTGCGAGTGATCGAGGCGAGGGGTCACCTCGAACCCCCCCGCGCCTTGCGGTTGCCGGGGGGGGCTCGATGGTGGAGAAATACTGTTTTGTTTTTGTTGTTGTTGGGGGTGGTGTGTGTGTGTGGGTAATAACAGGGGCCCCTCATTGTTTTTGTTTGTTGTTTATTTGTTTATGTCTCTTTTTTGTTTTTTTTTGGGGGAGGTCGGGTAATACAAACAACCTGCTGGAAGACAGGGGCCCGCATAGCGTCCCTTTCTCCTTCTTCTGGGGTAGTACAACCTTATCTCACTCCCTGAGTTCCTGGGCTTTACATCTTTGGGAAGACCATTTGACAAGCAAAAGAGTTCAGACTTTTCTTGGCATTCCACTCAGGAAGTGAGTGGGCTGTTTTTTGGGGTAATACAAACAACCCACTTTGTTAGACAAGCCTGGCTACCTTCTTTTCACTTGCACTTGATTTTCGGAGAATACAGAGGCCTACATAATTACAGACATTATCTTCCTGTGGGCATGACTTAGTTTAGCTTTATTTGTGGTGCGCCAACCCCCAGTTCTAATTTTATAGACCCCTATATTACCGTTTGCCTCTTCAGGTTGTGCAACATGAACGTAGCAAAACTGGACTGTCTAAAAAGGGCGGCATCATGAAACACTTGTTTTTGTGGGCGGGGTCCTGCATTTCTTGGTTGGCTAGCACGATGATCATCAGGCTTTCACAGGCCCCTGTTGGAATGTGTTTTATTGCTTCGAGACTAAACTTGATGTTTAATGATAGCGTAAATGCGGTATTCGCGGCTCCGCTGTCTTGATCGCAGGACGTGACGCGAGTGAGGCGTAGCAGCGCCTCACCCTTTTACATTGCCAGGCAGCCGCTTGCAAGAGCACAGCAGTTTCGTCAAACATTGACTCATGTGCGCCACAATCAAAACCCATCCAGGTAAGTGAGGGTTAGTATGTTCTGGCCAAAATAGATGCAGCCGCTTCTTGTTTGTTCACATGCTGTTGGCTAGACCATTAGAATAGCAGGTTTTGAAAGTGACTCATGTGCTTACTGGTCAGCTAGCGAAGCGCAAAAGCGCACGCGCGCTGCCCTTGTACACAGCAATTAGCCGACTCGAAGCAACGTACCGGCCGTCAAATGACCAACTGCACGGGTAGAACCGCTCTTATGCCCCCTTTTTTCCTTTCCGACCAAATGTCTACCCGTATGAGCCTTGAGTATGTGACTTTCGATGAATACCCATGGGAAGTTTGCTCTGTCCGAATGCGGCCTTGCTCTCCACTCTATCAGCCAACTAAAAGAGGCGTGTGGCCCCGTTTCATTCATGGTGGAAAATGGACCCATGGCTTGCCACAAAAGGAAACCCAGAAGGAGGTCAACCAGTGAACCATAGGGCATGCCAATGAGAAACCAGGTCCCACAGAGGGTTTACTTTGATGTCACGGCATTAGTTTCCACCATTTGCTCAGGCATCGCGGGGCTGGAACTGGCTGGATCGCCCAATCGCCCAAGTGAGACCAAAAATTGGACCATTCGGGGTCCCTTCTGGGTGTGTCTTTTTTGCAGGGGTACCCCCCTCTTTTGTGGTTTAAAGGGAAACCAAGAGGAAAACAACATTTGTGTTGCGGGGATCGGAAATTCCCTTAAAACAGACACCTGTTTGTCCCTGGCAAACCATGGCACTTAGCTTTCCATAGGACAGGAAGGAAGAGCGAAACCTTAAGAAACAAGAAGCTCGCCAGGGAAACAAAGAACCGAAGGGTGTCATTTCTTTTCCCAGAACTTTCCATTTCTCTGCAGAGCTAACCAAGAGAGGCACAATTAGCTCAAACAAAATGACTGATTAGCCACAATAAGATTCGTTGGATTTACTCTGACCATTGGGCACTTAGGCTTCACAAGGAAGCAGCGGCATTTTCTGTGTGACATAAAGGCCGACCTTGGCGAGGGAGAGCACTGCTTCGCATAATGAATGCGGAAGCGGTGCACATCCAAAGTGGGAGGTGCCGGAAGGAAGAATTGTGCTGGGGTACGGTAGATTAGCTTACATGGGGGTTGCTCTCAAGGCAATGCACAACCACAAGCGTAGAAAATTGATATGGGCTTTTCTTGTTTTTGTTCTTCCGGCAACGCTTCAACCATTGTGACGATCGGGTTGGCAGCCACTCGGTTTCTGAAACGGGGCGTCCAAAGAAACAGCGGGAGGGGAGGGGAGGAGCCTCTGAGTAATTAGTCAGTTGTCTTTTGGCGTGCCTTCAAAAGAAGCATCCAAAAGTGTGACGAGATTCGGAAGCTCCACAGACAGATTCAAACACCTTGAATTGTGAGTTCGGCAAGGGTTCTTGAGATTTTGCATGGTATGGCAAGCTCTCTGGGTTGATGAGCCAAACAGTAGGCCAACATACAGCCTTCGCGCATGTGTTCTCTGGTCCCTGGAAGGCAACAAACCGACAGTTGAGGATACATGGCAAACTAGAAAGTACCCTGACTGGCAACATAGGCTCTTCTTTGAAACCTCAAAAGCAAGCGGTATGGAGGCCCCGTCCTCCAGAACTCGTGTCTTAGCAGATTTGGACCCCCACAGGTCGGTCCATGTTGTCCTTGAATTTAGTGGTTCCCTATACCTCAGAGAACAGGAAGGCGACATTTGTTCAGCTGACCCGTAGTTAGTTGGTGGTATGAATTGGTAGTTGGAGGATCTGAACCCCTGGTTCTTGTAGACGCGCCTCCTACCACCAATCCAAACCGCCATTTGGAAGGAAGCTGATGTGTTACCACAAACTAAAGTGACACTGGACTTTTCCTTTCGCTAGGACTTTTCCGCGCTGATCCGGCCGCGGAACCCGGAGAGGCGGGAGTCCGGAATAATTTTTAGCTTGACTCGCTTAGGCTACGGCAACACATCAGTCCGATCCCCTCCAGCATGGAACAACCCGCCACGACAAAATCTCATGTGATTTTTCGATGTGAAGCATTACCCAAGATGACTAAGTTTTTTGTCCAATCTAGCTTCTGCTCTTCCACCCACCAACATGGAATCTACAAGAGAAAAAGGGTCCTCCAAGGACACCCAGTCAGGTTCGGGGGCGGGGGGGAGTGCTGGTTTTCTTGTTGTTTGTTTGCAATGGGTGAACTGGAATGGGCGATTCGTTTGGGATATTAAAATTGCGACCTGCCAAACATTCAACATCTTAAGATTCCCGAAACGGGGCTTGCCTTTAACTTGATATTCATATTTGTTGTTAGCGCAGTAATGTTTCCAATTGGCAAGAGTTTTATGCCTCAGGAGAAATCAAGAAATGGTCACCAAACCATCTGGATTTGTTTTATTTGTTGGGGCCATTTGAGTTGTACAAGGTTCGGGCTTTTGGCCAAAGAAAGTGAGTCACTTCGCGCAGGTGCTCAGCCATGGAGTACAAGCCGGTGGCGCCCGGCGTCTCCGTCGCCAGGCGAGTGAGCGGCGAGCGCTTGTCGTGAAATCTGCCGAAACCTGCCAGGGCGGAGGGGTCCTACCCCTGAAACTCGATGGTTTTTGTGAGGTTTCCTCGAAATCCGTTCAAATAGGGGCCCCCTTATTTTCACAGACCGCCATGGCCAAAGCACACCTTCGCACCTGTATTTCGGGGTTGGTAGAGCTGGTCAGGTATCCTTTTCTAGAACTGTAGACAACCACAAGGGACTCTCCTCGGGGAACCAGGGTGCCTGTTTTTGTCAATATCGTTTTTTCCTGGCGGGTTTCCCGTCGGGGGGAAGTACATACGCATTGGGATAGGACACTAATATTTGGAGTACTCAACTTCCTCACTCCCTAGGTTCTTGAACTCGATGCTTGTTTGGAAGGGCAATTGTAGTAGCTAACGAATGGTCGGACTTTTGCCACTCAGGAAGTGAGATATAGAGAACCCATGACTATGTCTGATCAGTGTGTTTACTGGACACGTGCAAGGCCTCAGTTGTGTCACTGCGTTGCCTGTGGTTTGTCGTTTGGTTTTCTCGCAACGATCGGGGCCTTCCGAGAGATGGGATGAAAATCTTCGAGTCTGCGTGACTTTGAGGCCACTTTCTTCAGGGGCCTCAAAGAATATGTCCCTTCAAAGCCAGCTTGACACCTCGCTTGGACCGATTTTGGCAGATTTTCTCGGTGATGTTTAAGGGGGAAACATAGGGAGGCTGCTTTCTTCATAAACCCCGATGGGCACTTGCCGGTGAGCTGGAACAGGGGCCCCAGATGCTTCTCAAAGGGGTGCCCTTTCGGTTGGCTTTGAAGGGAAACGAATTGGAGACCCTTGCCATTCTAGGACATGGACCCGCATGTTGCGAAACACTCCGAATCTTTGCCTTCTCGCAGCCAGTTTAAACAGCAAGCTGTGCCCTACCAGCGGCCGGTGTTTCCCTTGGAGCCTCAGCTGCTCCAGACATGTTGGTTTTGGCCGGAGGTGAAGTCCAAGCCAAAAACGGAGCCTAGGACCTAAGCAGAGCTGGTTGATTTTGATTGGCCTATCAAAGAAGAAAGCCTACCTTTGAAGTCATCAGGGGGCACTTGTTTATTCCAGTCATCCTTTTGGTCGGCAGACCGCTTCCCTGCGGTTTGAGAGGACTGGGATTTGGTTGTCTCGGGCCAGGCTGTTCGAATGGATTGACGGGCCTTTGGCACGAGGCTGGGAGATTCGAAGGGACGGACCAAGGAATCTGACTGGGCCTTTGGTTGAAAGGGACTCGCTGGAGGGTTCCAATGTAGGTATCAGCCCTTGGCCATCTTCCTTTAGTCTTCAAGTGGGAATCCTACCTGGGAAACGGCATCACCTCGTTTTTGGGAGCTTTGGGCTTTCGGAGATCTCAGCAACAATGAGGAGTCCGGAAGCCGAAGGGCAAGGCTTCCCAGCAGTTTCCAGCTTCCGCTATAGAGGAAATGATTTCTTACCAGATTTTACATGATCAATTCCCCGGGTTCCATACGGTAACTAGCTTCCACTGTAGAGGTCAGAATTTCTTACCTCCAGAGTTTGCATGATGATTCCCCTGGTTCCATGTAGTGGTAACTGGAAGCACTGATAGATAAAATCTCCCAAAAGCTTTCATTCCCCAACAAAGGGAAATGGAATCACCGGGTCACATCACGGGTATGTGTCAAATGGATTTGGACCCCCAAACCGGATTTCGGGTGTCCACTTTTGGTGGTTTCCCTTTAACCAACCTTACTGGAGGGTACGCGTGCCTGCTGGTAGGGCATCGCCAGGCTTGTGGGAACCTGTATAAAATCTCCCAGAAAGAAGCCACCAGTTACTCATTTGGATTCCAACTCATTCCGCTAGCCAAGAAATACCTCCGAGTCCGGACGCGTCACGCGTCAGGCTGGCAGCCCTACTCCTTGGTGGGCGCCAATTGCCAGCACTTCTCCGAGGCAGGGCGACTGGGTGTCGTTTGTTGTTTGTGTGAAATGGCAGCCGAGGGATGTTAGGCGGTTCTACCTCGAGGTCGGGGTCGGGGTCACTCTTCGGGGCTTCCATCTCGCTCGCGAATGTGTGGAGTGGAGTAGGCTTTTCTACCACCCTGGCCTTATTGTGGTTATACTAAGGCCTATATATTTCAGTTGGTTCTACTCCCTGGCCTTATTGTGGTCATACCTAAGGTTTACATATACACAGATTTATGGCCATGTTAGCTGGAAACCTGATACGGATTCCATAGGGAGTTGGTGAAGCCTGACCCATCCTTGACAGGAATCGCAAAAGCTAAAACCTATTTGGGTGTGTCTTGTTGTAAGGGTCCCCTTTTTTTGTGGCTTTAACTTGGACACCAAAAGGAACACCACCCATTTTCGGGGTTACCATATTTCAAGATGCAGACCCAAAATTTTCCCCCAAAAATGGACGTGGAGCCTCGCCCTCGTCTCGTCGCTTGCGTCCAGGAGCTCCATGAATTCCTGCAGAACCCGGCGAAGGTGGAGCGCCAGTCCGAGGCGGAGGCTGGCGCTCGACACGCAGATGTGGACGCTTTGGTGCCCAAAAGCGGGCCGGGGGGGGGGGAAAGGGTTCTTTTCTTTATGGCTCTACGGTTGGATCTTTGGACTTTGACTTTTTGGGAAACAGTGGATTTTCCATTGACAACAAGTTAAGCTTTTGGCAGAGGGGTCAGCAGCAACCAAGAAAAGGGGGGTCCGTTTCTGGGGCTTCTGATTTTCAATCCCTAAAGGGATTGCCAAAGAAACAGCAGGCCAAACAAAATCACAGCTTTTCTTTCTGAGCAGCCCTCATACGGCTAGGATTCGATGCAATGTTTTCATCAGGAACTCCTGAAGCCAGGTTGGTGGTCGTGAGGCCCCGCGTGCATGACGTCCACCCCCAGGTCCCCAACTTCAATTTTGGGTGCTTATGCAAGGGCATCATTTTTGAACTTTGTTCAAACCGGAATCGAAAGGGATTCCACCCGCTTTGTGGGGTTCGCCTGTTTTGAGACAACCCCAATATGCAAACCATATCATATTTGGTCACGATATCCGGTAGTCTATTCTCGTTTGTTGGTTTCGAACTGTTGTAATTCGCTGACGTCGTGTTTTACGCGGCACTCCATCCACAGACGCAAACTGCCCTCCCGTGTTTCCTTTTCTAGCTTGGCTTGAAGTCGTGTAATTCAGCCGGCGCCTGGGATGAGACCAAGGACTGGGGTCGGGACAAAATCGGGCCTCGAAGACTTCCTGGGGTGGTTTTCTCAGGCTAAGAGCAAAGTTCACAAAGGGTTTTTTGGAGTTTCAGTCTTCAAACCAAAACGGGTTGAAGTTCAAGCCGGCTGAGACTTCCAACTGTTTCAAGCTTTGGACAGAGAATCACATGGGCGGGGTTTCAATCCCAGTAGCTTGACTGGATTCCTCCCAAGGGCACAAGGACAACAGGAAGGCTGTGTTCAACCTAAGGACCTGAGCCCACTTTCGAAACAAGACCCAAAACAAGAGAGGAGTATTAGATAAAATAGAGATATTTCCCAGTAGCTTCCTCAAAACAAGACCCAAAAATGAGCGGGATGCTAAAGATACTGCTAAGAGACAGCTATTTTTTCTGATTCACGGCAAGGAGTAGCGTCGCTTGAGGAGAGTTGGGGGGGGGTCCGAACGATCCGCCAGGACATTGCAGACATCCTGCGCGTGGTCTCACAGCAAGTGACGACCAACCCCAAGGCCGCGTTCGTTTGCGCCATCATAACCCGGGTAGTTGGAGGACACGAAGGGATTGTCCCAACCATAAATATGTATGCCCACCCTCTGAGCTCTGTACATAGTCTTCGGTAGCCCACTTTAATACCAGGGTTCAATCTTTGATTCATTTGGTGTCCAGTCTATCTGGAGCTTTGGAGGAGCGAAAGCCCATGACGGGCCTTAAGGGTTCCCTTATGTCCAACAAGGGAGGTACCTGGAGTCTCCGTGTTAAAAGCCAGACGAAAGGTGGGTTCTCTTAACGTCTGCCTCTGATTAAGAAATAGCCCCGCCCTTCTGTTTGCCCTCAAATATAGTCACGGGGTGAAGTTTCAGGGTCAGGACCTGTTTCGAATTGCGCGAGTAGTGGGCTCGGTTCTTTGGGTTTTGGAATACTAGTTTAGTATTGGGCCTCTTCTAAACGAGTATTGGCCATGCTTTGGGGGGAGGGTGTTGTGTGTTGGAACACTACTTCAGTATTGGGTCAACACTCAGTTAGTATGGGGCATGTCAACTTCGTTCTTTTTTTTGGGGGGGGATTTTGGTTTTGGATCATCAGTTTAGTATTTGGCCAATACCCAATTAGTGTTGGGCATGTTGGTTGTTCCTTATTGTGTTTGAGGGGAATGCACATTTAGCATTCATGAATTTCATGAAGAGTTGCACGAATAAAGATCAAGGGATAAAACAGGTTTTGCGGTCACTGGGAGTCGCCTTGGATTTATTCAGGGTCTGGTGTTGAGGCTTCATGGGACAATGTCAAGGGATGTCGTTTGAGGCATTTTAAGTAAGGGGTTCAATGGATTCATGTGGGGATCTGCAGGGAGAATGGGAATCATATTCAGAATGAGCCTAGTTGAACGGATACCTTGCCCCTAAAGAACAGTAAAGGGATCAGAGATTCTTTGGTGGTCAGTGAGAATCAGCTTTCTTTATTTGGGGTCTGGTGTTTATTTGGTGCATGAGGCCTCATGGGGGGTAGCCTTGTTGCCAGGTCAAGGGGTGTTGTTGGAAGGATTTTAAACACATGATTTTACACAAATGATTTGCAGGGGGAATGGGAGTCAAGTTTATGATGAGCCCACGCGAATGGACATGACAAATGTAGCTTTCCTGAAGGGGATGTATCTTTTGTTTATGTTAGCTGAGGAATGTGAAGTTCCTTCACCTCCCTGGGGACAGTGATAGTTTTTCACAGATTGTTCACGACCGTGATTTGTTTAGGTATATGTGGGGTAGTTTTTCCTTTTGTCAGATTGGGAAAATTTTAGATTTGTGTAGAGGTAGTGTATCAGTTTGTAGGTGGACATTAGGGGGGTTCGCACAACATGGACATAGATCCTCCACAAAATGGGTGGTTTGTCCCTTCACAAACCAAACCGCTCCTTGAGTACGGGCCGAAGGTCATAGACAGCAACGGTTGTCCGCAATCTGATTCGGGCACTCAATTCATCCTAGAGATCAACGAGAAGAAGTTGCGTACTGAGACTTGATGAGGTCCGACCTGACCAATCATTTGGCAGGTGATCCCAGGCTCGTGAACGGTCGGTTTCCGCCAAGCAGAAGCCCAGGATAAGGTCCTGGAGTCTCCATGACCCTTGAAAAATTGGCTCTTCCCAAAGTTTTGGGGTCATGGAGGTGCCTCCAGGAGTTTGAGGTCTAGCCCCCACAGCACCCCGAGGTTGACTTTTGTGAAGCGCGGACGCGCGCCAATGACGGGCATGCTTTGCTGGAGACCCTTTGCTTAAGAAGGGCTGGGTAAAGGCACCTCTGAGGATGGTTTCCGCTACCCTTAAACCACAATTCCCAACAAAAGGCAGGGATTTTATCGACATGTAGGTTTTCTTGCTGAACAGTAGAGAATGGCATTCCGGTGTTGGGAATGAGCCGGAAGGGGATTCGCTCAAAGGAAGCAATCATGGATTGTTTCTCTCGGGGTCATTCCAACTCATTCCTTGCCTATCGTTATTGTTATTGTTATTTTCCCATTCGCTTAAGTTTGTTATTATTATTCTTGGTTTTCAGGAGGATGGCTTTGGGAGTTTCACCGGAGCGCCAGATGCTCTCTGACCTGCCGCCGCACCTCAGCAAGGAGCGGAGCGTGGTGCTCCGGGCGGCCCGACAGCCCAGCTTGACGGTAGGGTTTGGTGTTGCTGGTGCTGTGCTGGGCTGTTCAACCCTGGGTCACCGCAAGAGTCCCTTTTGTAGCGATTAGGATTGGCCAACCCTCCATGTTGAAGAGCCCAGCTTTATATTCTAAAACAATATAATATTGAAGATGTTGTTGTTTCTTTTGCTGGCAATGGGACTATTTTGTATTGTATGGCTCTAATGATGTTCATATTCACATCCAAATTTTCCATTGTCCGGTGTAGGTAGCCAAGACAGCCATCCTTTAAAGACCTACAAAAGTGGTAGCTGGCAGGATGTGGCATTGCGACCATGATCGAATGAACAATAGTTTAGTCAAAAACTGCGCAGGTAGGGCCGCGCGGCTTAGAGGATGCTCAACGTGTGAAGCAGACCTGCGCAAAATGGAGCAACGGGACGAGACAGACAGGCAAGTAAGGGTGGTTCTTGGCTAGCTACAGGGAATGGAATCACAGCTGCCACGAGGAAGGCAGAGCTTGCTCTGGGTTACGACGCTGATGTCGGATGAATAAACCCTCCCCCGCCTCCCCAAACCTCAGACTAAACATGTTCCGCGGAAGAAGGCGGTCGGCCGCTCTGCAGGATTGAGGACGCGTCCGGAAGCTAGATAAAGTTTTAAGTGGCCTGGAATTGAAGTCACTGGAAAAATGGTTCTGTGCAGGATGCCATGGATTGCACGAGAATGTCTTCAAACAAGAGGACCTGCAAAATCATCGAAACTTGCTCCTCAACATGCGCACATGACACAGATAACCTGTGCTCCAGCTTCCGACATATTTCACGACGGGACATAATTACTTGATTCGTCCGGAGATGTACAGTCCCAATACTTCAGACAGATCCACGTTTACACAACAATGGCTAAGATGCCAAAACTGCTAAACATGAAAGGAACTTGCCTGCGCATGGTGGCAGGTGTGCACACACACACAAACAAACAACTCTCTTTACCATTCATTGATTCCAAGGCAAAAGATACGCAAAGGGTTTCTCACAGCCAGCAGAGCACGTTCCAGGCGTGCCCATTCCGGTGTTCACCTATTCTGAGCTCAATTTGTGAGCCTTGGATTTTCCGCAGCTCAGCAGTTTGACGAGTTTGCAAAATCAAGTTCTACCCTTGCTGCAGCTCGGAAGATTGGCTGTGCGTCGAAAAGAGTCCTCTGGATGAGTTGGGCCAGAATGACCGTAAGTAAGCAAATGTATAGTTTCAGTTTTTTCATCTAAAGACTACAGTTTTAGTGCGCATTCTTAGGGCGACTGCGGGCCTCACCAGATCAGATGCCAAGTCGAAGATGTTTCAAGGGGTTGGGCCAATGGGGTTTTCGGTGTAGGCTTTCCCATGGCGAGTCAATGGACTATCCCCGCCCACAGGTTTAATGGGACCCACATGAACTTCACATGGCTCCTCTTCACAGGTTCCCTCAAAACAAGATACATCCTTATGGCTCTGAATCAGCGCATGTTGCCCAGGTGCATCTCAACGGCATGTCGCTGGCCTATGTGGAGAAACAGTTCCAGCAGGCGCGTGAATCGAACCGCAAGGATCCATGCCTTTGCTGCAGTGATTCCATGATTTTCCCTGTAGGGCATAGCCATTACTCCAGGATGGTTGAGCCATGAGTCCTCGCAAAACACCAAAACGGCCCAGTGGTTCCCAGGGGGTTGGATTTGGTTGTAACAAGCCCTGCTTGTTTTGAGCAAGCGCAAGCTCAATCAAAGCGAGTTTCCTTTCGCGGGAAGCAAATTCGTCGCGCAAAGGAACATATGGTCGGCGCGTTTTCCCTTTGACTTTTTCGTCCTCTTTTTGCATGGCTACCCTAGCGGCACCCTGACCTTGAGTGGGTGCTTTCAGGGTGCTTTAAACAATGAGCGCTCTGCTGATCGATGGGTTGATGTTGGTCCCCTCTCGGTTTTGCCCTGTAAGGGTATTGGCTGTTGGTGGTCCCAAATCAATGGGTATCGGTCGTATAGTATCGGTTTTGTTGGTGGCTTTGTATCGTTTCTAGGGCTAGCTTCCCGCTTCTCTTACGGGATGATTCTTTTTTCCGAAAGGGGTGGCATTTTTGGCCGTCTTTCTTAGATTCTTGTTGGTAGTTGTTTTTGTTTTTTCTCTGGGCTGGTGTTGCGGCTTTGCATTCTCAGCATTACCAGTAACATCCCCAGCAGGGCCCCCAACATTGTTTGTAATCGCGTACTTTCTAGTAGTGTCCGTGTTGTGTTCTTTAGGGGGGCCAACCCCGCTTCTTTATAGGGTTGTTGGTTCGGCACCGCCAAATAATCCAAAGCCTACCCTCCGACATGTCATACCCTAAACCGTCCTAAATCCCCACTAAACCAACCCTAACCCACCCTAAACGAAGCCCAAAAGCCCCAATCACTGTAAACACACCCACTCTACTCAGTGATAAACTATCCAAACCAACTCCAAACCTACCACAATCCAACTCTAAACCCCCACTCTAAAGCCACCCTAAAGCCAATCGTAAACCCACCCTCAACCCGCTCTAAACCGCCAGAAGCCCACGCTAAGCAAGCACTAACCCCCCCCTATACCTGCCCTACACCAACCCTAAACCCACGCTGAAGCAACCCTGAGTCTACCCAAGCCGAACCCAATCTTGAACCAACCTAAACCCAGCCCTAAACCAAAGCCAGCTGGTGATGCTGGGGGTGGGAAAAATGATGCCAGGGATGTTGACAGTGCCGGTGCACAGTCACTCAAGTGACGGTTCAGATAGACTCGTGAACCCTTAGAAATCTGCACCCTTTGACAGCAAGGAACATGGATGTCACCGGTTTACCTACGATAGTGGCTTGCCTAGGATCTGGGGAAGGCAACATGACTGTGTTGGCGGCTCTTGAAAGCATCAAGTTCGGCGCAACGGCGTAGTCGCGGACAGTGGTCTAGGCATTGACGCTTGCGTGATCAACATGGAAAATGCCAGGTGTCTTCCGCTGCTGCCAAAGCTTTCGTTGGATCCACATGCACCCGGACTCACTATAATCCATTGGGATGGTCGACCGGCTTGCCCTTCTGGAAGCCTAAGCCTTGGGGCAAGCAGTCCGTTACCTTGCATTGCTTTGAGAATGTTTATTTTGTGTTGTTTTTTGACGTCAAAGGAAATCTATCACTGAAACACGTAAATGTCTGCCAGGGCACTGAAACGCAAAGGGGAGTTTAGGTGAACCGATCCGTTTGCTTGCACTCAGTGCACTCCTCCGCCAGGACTGGCGGGTGGTGCTGAGCGCAGTTCAGCAGGAGCCATCGGAGTCGAAGGGCGGGCCTGAACAGGTGAGCAACTCACAGGGGCGACCGGGTACTTAGAAAAGAAGTGGCAAGCACCCGATCGGGTTCTGGCTCACTTGCCATGGTTATAAGTTATAAGTCTCCGGTCAGTAGGTTAAAACCAGGCTTACTGACCGCTTATGAAGTACCCGATCGCGCCTTTAAGAAGATGAGTCGGCGCGGATATCCGCCCACCCTCCTATCCACATGGAACCTCACAGGGATGGCGTGATGGCTTCAATGTGAACGTGCTCAAAACAAGACACTAGGAGTGCCTTCCCCATTCTTCCCTGGGTCCTTCTCTCTGGAAAAACTCCGGAAACGGTTGAACAGAATGATTGGAATCAACCCCCAGAAAGGTCACTGCTTAAAATACGTTGTTTGTTTTCAGTTCAAAACCCCCAAGCAATGTGTTTTTTTTTTTTTTTTCAAGGGGACCCCCAAAATGGTGGTTTTCCTTTGGTTCTCCTTTGAAAGCACCAAACAAGGGGCTTACCAGCTCACAAAAACGCTCGATCCAAGTGAGCCAAATCCGCCGCAACGTGGCCAGGACGGCGACGCCTTGAGATTCGCCTCGGAGGAGATGAAAAGCGACCGCCAGGCGGATGGTGAGGTTTCGGAGATGCCCTGTGCCACCAAACTTGGCTCCCAGCCATCCGGTTCCTTAGCCTTTTAGCCTTTTAGTGTTTAGTGGTGGTTTCCATTTAGCCCACTAAAAGTTAAACTTTTAGCAGGGGATCTGAGGGCAGCCCAGAAAAGGGGGTCCTTCAAAAAAGACAGATGGATTGCATGTGCGATGTTTTGCCTCAAGCTACCTCTGGGCCCATGGTTCGACCACTGTCGAATTGTCAGCCTGTTCAGTGATAGGTTAAAGGAAACACTCCCAGTTGCTGACTTTGAGAACCCCCCAAAAAACAGGGAGAGAATAATGACCGAAAACTGGCAACCGGTGTCCTTTTGGTTTCCAACCTGAAGACCAAACAAAACCAAAAAGGGGAAACCACAAAAAGACACCTTGGGGGTGGAGCTGTTTGCCGTCCCAAAAAACTCACTCGTTTTGGACCAGTGGGATCTGCTAGCAAATTGCCACGAGGGGAAATCCGGTGACCGCCTGGGCGGGCTGGTTGGCATTGGACAATGGAATTGGGGGGCTCAGAAGTTTGGTTTGGGGGTTGTCCTTGTCAGAAACTGGGGGCCACTTGATGGCTTTGGGCCACAACGGGACCCTCCCGCTGACACGTTGCTTCTGAACTCTGAAGCATTGAAAGCTAGGTGGCACCGGGCGAAGTTTCAGTGGTTGGATCCTTAAGACTGATTGTATCAACCTTTGAGAGTTACTGGAAATGGAATTCGGGCCTCTTTTGGGGTTGAAAGGGAAAAGGAAGCCAACCATTTCGGAGATGGCCCGATTCCTGTTTTGAGGAACACTGGTTGTGAACTCTTGGATTGAACCACTGGTATACCGGTGAATTGGACAGTCGGAAAACCTGCAGAACCTGACACTCAGGCGTTTGGCTCACAAGTTCCAAGCAGCCAGACATAACGGGGCCAGGTCTTCATATGGGTGTGTTTTAGTCTCCCAAAACAGGGGAGCCAACACACTGCGGTGTTCCTTTCCATGTCCCTTTCAACAAACTTAAGAAGGGTACCCTCACCAAAGGACATATCCAGAATGTATCTATCCATCGATCGATCTATCTTATCTTGTCATACCATCCATCCATCCATCCATCCATCCATCCATCCATCCATCCATCCATCCATCCATCCATCCGTCCATCCGTCCATCCGTCCATCCGTCCATCCGTCCATCCGTCCATCCGTCCATCCGTCCATCCGTCCATCCGTCCATCCGTCCATCCGTCCATCCGTCCCTCCAGCCAGCCAGCCAGCCAGCCAGCCAGCCAGCCAGCCAGCCAGCCAGCCAGCCAGCCAGCCAGCCAGCCAGCCATCCATCCATCCATCCATCCATCCATCCATCCATCCATCCATCCATCGATCGATCGATCGATCGATCGTACATATATTAATATATATATATATATATATATATCTATTATACACTTGTCTATCTGCCTGTCTGTCCATCTATCCGTCTATCTATCTGTACTATATATCTCTCTGTCTGTTCATGTCTTTATCTATCTATCTAACAACAAACTTTAGAGCCTCCGGCTCAGTTCGGCGACATTGTCCTCTCCCTTTTCTCCTTTTTCCTGTCTCTCTTGTCTCCTCCCCGTGTGTTCTGTCGTCCTCTCTCCCTCCCTCTGCTCCCCATCCTCCCCAACCCCCCAACCCTCTCTCTCCTCAATCTCCCTTGCTCTGTCTCTCTCTCTCTCTCTCTCTCTCTCTCTATCTCTCTCGCTCTCTCTCTCTCTCTCTCTTTCTCTCTCTCTCTCTGTGTCTCTCTCTCTCTCTCTCTCTGTTTCTCTGTCTCTTTCTGTCTCCCTGTCTCCTTCCTGTCCACGCCCCTCTACAGAAAAAAGGGCACCCTTATTCCAACCTCTCTACTGGAGAGACCCACTCTCTCTCTCTCTCTCTCTTTCTGTGTCTTTCTCTCTGTCTCTCTCTCTCTCTCTGTCTTTCTGTGTCTCTCTCTCTGTCTCTCTCTCTCTCTCTGTCTCTTTCTTTGTCTCTTTCTCTTTCTCTGACTCTGGCTCTGTCTCAGTCTCTCTCTCTCTCTCTCTTTCTCGCTCTCTGTCTCTCTCTCTCTCTCTCCCTCTCTCTCTCTCTCTCTCCTGCGCTCTCCCTGTGTCTCTCTCTCTCTCTCTCTCTGCATTGCAGCGTCACGTCCCCCCTGAGTTGCTCGATGTCCGGAGCACTGCCCCTTCATGACCCTGAACTGTCTGCTTACTACTGGCTTTCCCCTTGATTTCCCCTTCATGTCCTTTCACGTTTCCCATGATGTCCTGGTCATATCCCTTCCATTCCTTTCAACTCCCCCTTCATGTCCCTGTCATGTTCTCGGTATGTCAGCTTCATTTTCCATGTATGTCCCGTTCTTTCGTTGCGAGTCATTTCCCTACATCTCCCGTCGTGTCGATTGGTGTCCTTGTCCTTTGTTTCCCATTTCTGTCCCTTTCCGGTCCCTTTCGTTCCCCTTTCCCCTTGCTTTCGTGTCATGTCGACTTCCTATTTCCTCCCCTCCCTCATTTCCTTGCACTTCCTTGCATTCCCCCTTTGCTCCCCAGGCAGGAAACCCAAACCAGCAAAGAGCCGGCAGGGAGATTCGAGCCTGGGACCCCTGTTTTGCGACACTACCTCCCTGAAGGCTACGTTTAGTGGAAGTTGCGTCCTGTTGTTCTAATCTAATTATCTATCTATCAATTTAATCTAATCTAGTCTAGCCTAACCTAATCTAATCTAATCTATTTATCTATCTATCTATCTATCTAATCTATCTAATCTATCTATCTATCTATCTATCTATCTATCTATCTATCTATCTATCTATCTATCTATCTATCTAATCTAATCTAATCTAATCTAATCTAATCTAATCTAATCTATCTAATCTATCTATCTAATCTATCTATCTATCTATTTATCGTATCTCATTAAAGAGAAAAGGACAAACATAATGGCCTGATCTAATCCAATCTAATTAAATCCAATCTAATGTAATCCAGCCTAATCTATAGTCTATCGTTCTATCCATCCACCTATCTATCTATCCATATGAATCTTGGTTTGATGTGCATATATAAAGGGCTAAATCATTACTCATGGTTTACTCCTACAATCAGGACTCAAGATCATGTTCAAGGCGCGCCCCGCAACCACATTCCAATTCGGCCCGCATAGTGAGGAATTCCATTGCCAAAACCCTGTACAAGTAGCCATGCAAAACCCCCCTTTGAAACAAGTGGACCATGGCTGGCTACCAACTATAGCCAAAACAAAAGGGATCCACTGGGGTCTATAAATGCAGATGGTTCTCTGACCGCCCAAACCCTTCTTGGCAAGTTTACACGATTCTATATGGCTTGGGGTTAAGGCCCACGGTCGAAAGAAGCCGAATTGGCACCGTTTTGATAGATTCAACGGTTCGAAGGTCCATTGATCTGTGGTCCGTTCCGAGCCGTCCACAGATCGTGCTGGCTGCGGTGCAGAACAAGGGCGCAGCACTGCAGCACGCGGACAAGAGCCTGCACCGGGACCGGGAAATGCTCCTAGCAGCGCCTGTGCTCAACTGAATTCGGTTTGGTCGGGTTTGTGTTTATTGGTGTGTTTTTGTTTCGCTGTTTGTTTCTTTGATTTTGTTTGTTGCTTGTTTTGTTTTGGTTTGCGTTGGCTCGGTTCGCTGATGTTGCTTTGCTGGTTCTTGGTGTTGCTTTGCTTCTTTTGTTTGCTTGATGGTTTGTTGTTTGTGTTGGTTTGGGGTGGCTTGGTTTGTTGCATGATATGTTGTGGTGTGCTGATCTCTGTGTGATTTATTTCATTTTGTTGGTGTTTGCTTTGCCGGGATTACGAACATCGGGTGAACCGAGCGAACCAGAACACGCAAGTGTCCAATTGGCGAGTGGCTCCATGAATTCAGAGCTGCTAGAACCATGGTGGTTTGGGGAAGTGAACCCATGGTTCTTGTTGAAGTTAGTTGGGAAGCCACCCTCTAACCGCCAAACCACCAATCCAAGCCACCGCTTGAGGGGAAGCTGCTTAAGGGTGGATTCCCCCCCCATTGACCGAATTCAACCGATGTCTCGAGCCTCGGCTTGAAAACTAAGCAGTCAGGCAAAAGAGAACCCCATCAAAAAGTGCCTCCTGGTTTCACGGTTTTAGGCTGGGTCCGTCCCTGTTAAAGCTAGCAAGTGTTGCCCTTTTTTTTTCAGACCCCCTTTCATGGGCAAGCAACTTGCTCACCCATTCTTTGGGGGTTCCTTCGAGCGAACACCCATGAAGGTTCCTTACATGGAATTCAGGTTTTTCCGGTTTTCTTGAAATTTGTCCAGATGGGTGTCGTTTTTCAGGGGCCCACCCCAAAAAAATGTGGTTTTCCTTTTGGTTTCCCTTCAAAACCAAAAGGGATACAACACATGGTGCCCTCAAAGAAAGCACCTCACCCAGATCTATTGTCCCAACAGGACACCTAAGTTAGGGGATATGACTTGACTGAGGCGGGCTGGTCCGGCGCTGGTGTGCTAATGTCCTGGAGCAGCGACGCGAGCTGATGCCCGTGCAGCTCGGGGAGAATTGTTCTTCATGGCTCGTGGTCTTTTGGTGTGACCGAATCACCGAATCGTCCCAATACTCACTTCATGCGTTCCGCTTCAGACAAAGGTCCCTTTTTGGGCTTGGACCCATTTTAGGGGTAAATGACAAGTTTGAACTGGTTTTGGGCCATCTACTTGGGAGGTGAGAAAAGCATCTTGTGGAAACAAATGGCTTTTGCACAATACCTACGAAGATGGTCAGATCTTTTTGCTCAAGGGGGTTTGGAGCAAGAGATTCCACCCTGCAACGCAGGTCCCCCGAAAATGTGTGGGTTTCTCCAGAACTGGGCCCCGCAACTGGGCCCCGCAACTGGGATCTCATTTGATATGAGGTCCAACATATGAATCGGAAGATGTGTTTGCAGTAGGTTGGGCCAAGGATTCCGGGTGCCCGCGAAAGGGACGGATAAGTTGCGTACCCCTTTCTTGCTTGAAGAACCTAAGACAGAGGTGCTGTGAGCGCACTCAAAGTTGTCCTTGTGATGGGAGACGGACGTGTTTTGGCTGACCGGGGTGCTTTGTCCTGGTGGGAAAGGAGCTCAGAGGGCTTCCGCACTTGAGGTCCCTTTTTTCCACGGCGGGTGTGTGTGTGTGTGTGTGCGTGTGAAAGGAAAGCCTGCACCTCGAGTAATCTCAAGTATTATTTGGAGGGCCCAAGGGCAAGTATCAGTACCTTGTTATGATGATGAGTGCAGACTGGCTGTTTCTGTTTGAGGGGATTTGGCGCTTTGCCCGTTCCTATCATGGGCAGCTGACAGGCAGGTCTTGCAAAACCGCCATCTTCACAAGGCCTTTCGTGCACTGACATGATGCGAAGGAGGGTATGTTGGTGGGGGGGGTTCTCAAAATAGGGGTCCAGTGGACAGAAGAACTTGGGAAGCTACCATCACCTCAAAACGACCTCCTGTCCACTTACCATGATTTTTGGAAAGATGGCAGTTCAAGGTTGTCTTTACGCGGACCCTGAGGGTCGGGGAATCCGGAAAAGCTTCTTTTCACCCCAAACAAATAGAACAAGCGTCAAAATCCATGGACCCCTCGGGATTCCTTTATCACAGTTCAGCTTTGTTTATGGAGCCCAAATTGGAGGCTTGCAATCGACCTGCAGTTGCACTGGTATTTATTGCATCAGGCTTTTCCTAAGGCAGAAATTGCTGGTCAACTCAGTGTTTTTTAGGATGGGGAGTGTTTTTTAACGATAGTTTTTCTTATTTTGTTTTTGGATTTGATGCCAAAATGAGCAACATGGCCGGGCATCCATCCGGTCGCGCCTGCGCGCGACCTAATTATGGCTCGGTGACAGAAACTCGCCGGCCGTGGGTGCAGGAAACCACAAGACAGATCGGGAACCCTTTTGTTGGGCGCCAAAGACGAAGCAATGGAAGCCATCCGTTGGAATCCATTTTTTGTTAGAAACACCCAATGTGTGCTCATGTTGAATCCACAGAGCCGGTAGCTTGGGATGTACCCCCTGGCAAATCCAAAAAGGGCTCCCCTCAAACGAAGTTCATCCGTTTGCTTCCATGTCTCTGCAGGGGCGTTAGTAGTTACATAGGCAAAGGGAAGCACACCCCTTGGAGGAGGGTTTGAAAGCGGTTGGGGGGCTATTTTACATGATCTTTTAACTTTCAATATATTCATTGTGGCAACTGCGTATTTCTACAGGGGCAACTTCCCCATCTTTTTCAGGGATCCTTTGTTTGGGAGCGAGAGAGGAACGAACGACCCTTGGGAAAGAGGGAATCGATCCCGAGAATTTCATCCACCGTTCACCGCGAGCTCATTTGGGGCAAAAACGAGCTGACCATGTTGCGCGTCCTTTATTTGGGGGTCCAATGGTGTTGGGGTTCTGAAATTTGCAAATCTGACTCAAGACCCCACTCAGTGCCCCTTTAGTTGGCATTTTTTGCGCTGAGGTGTGCTGAGAATTTCAGATCTGTGCAATGCCACGGCTCCGAATCCAGCCGAGTCGAGTCGGTAGCAACCTGGAACCTTGCCTACCTCTAAACGAACGGACCATTTGCTGTGCTTTTCTTTTGGTCCTTTGTCGCTGGACTTGCCTCGGCTGAAGCCAACCGTACGGCGGAACGCCATCGGTCCATTTCGCCCCAGTTCCTTTGGTCTTGAAAATTGACATCGACAGGGTTGCTCACCCGCAAGCGCGCCCCATTTGCTCGGGATCCTCATGTTTCCCCTTCGGGGGGTGAATGTGTTGTGAAGGCCGCCAACCCAAAAGGCCCCTGCCAAGCTCTTTTTCTGGCCTCTCTTTGGAAATTGTGTTATACAGAGCTATACACACAAAGTACAGCATGGACCAGAAGCACAATGTTCGTTTTTGTTGTTCCGTTGACAAGCTGGGTGAGGAAGTAATTCGACCGCGACCTCTCGTTGAGCCCAGATATGACCGGTCAAAAACATATGCACCCCTCACACCCAATACCCACTTTCGGTGCATGAGGTTACATGATGTCAGCCTCTGACCAAGAAAGGGAGGTGTTTCCCATGTGTAATCCTAGCTCTTCAAATCCTAGTTGAAACAAATGCGGACATTTGGGAGTACGAGGTATTTGCAAACATGGAATCCCATTGTTTTGAGCCTGAGGCATCATGTGGTCTAAAAGAGGTCCGGACCTCAATTAATGACACTCCACCTTTCTTCCTCCAAATCGATCCTTTCGGAAGGAACCCAAAGACTATTTGATCAAAGCAAGTCAGCCACAGGGAAGTGCCCACGTTCCTTCTGAAAAAGGCTGCTTCCGGAAACAGGGGAAGCACAGCTTACCCAGTGATTCCTTTCCTTGCCGACGGGCCAACCGGAACTCGCCTTCAAAAACGAAAATAGGATCCGATTGTCTGTTTTGTTTTTTGTGATGTGAACCACGGTCATATTTGCTGTCGTAAAGAAAAGCACAGAGAAATAAAGAGGAATAAAGAAAATGAAGAGAGGTATACAGAGGAAGAAGAGGAAGAAAGACGAAAGATGAAGAAAGAGAGGAATAGTGTAACCCAAGTGGTGCCAGTGTCCGTCTTTCTCTTTTGTTGAGGTGAAATCAGGGGTCGGCACACCACAAGGGCATGCGGCTCGCTCGCCGATAATTCAGCAGGTCACCCCCAATTAATGGTTTGGATTGGTGATTTGGGGCTTGTAGAGGGTAAACGGGAACCCCTTCACCTCCGGGTTCCAAATCGCAAATTAAACTGAAGCTAAAACAATACATACAGGGCGGTTCAGTAAAGGCAATCCTTAATCCTGACCCCTGGGTTACGAAAGGAACCGGTCCCCCTTGTAAGTCGTTGTGCAAAAGGGATTATGGAAAATTGTATCCAACACAAACCGTTTTGAGCAGCCCCGCATAGAGACAGCCAATGCCCCGCGCGCCCAGAGCAACCCTGACATAGCACGGAGCTCCTGATGCGCTGGATGCCAAAGGCCGTGCTCGATCGAACTGCAGCGAGGGGTTTTTCGCGAGGTTTCCGAGGCAATGGGTTTGTCTTGAAACAGGCATGGGTCAAAACTAAAGCACCAGAAATTGGACCACAGGTTTCAGTCCATGTTCCATTTACCAGGGTTCCGTTTGGGGTACTCATTTTTGACCCACAGCCAAATGGGGAACTTCACTGAGCGCACCTACGACGAGCTCCTGGTTGCTAACGCGCACATCATTCTAATTTCCTGGAAGCAAACGGGGATGGATGGTTTTTTGTTGTTTTTTTTACGCCCACTATTTGGCACCCAGAGGTGCACTGGGTCTAGCCGCACCCTCCGTTTGTTCAAAGATTCTCATTGCCAAAAGCCCGGAAGGTCCAGCTTTCGAATGATCTTCTTGAACCAAAGTCTGAGGTAATCCTTGTTTGCTGGTGTTGGATTGGTGGGAAGAACCCCTGTCTTAGAGGAGAAAGTGGGTTCCCCCCCCCTTAACCATCAAACCACCGGGCTGCAAACCACCAATGGGAGGGAAGCTGAAAGTATTTGCGACCGCACCCGAGCCGAGCAACGAACCGAAACGCAGAAACCTCTCGCTCGTCCCTTGGGCCAAAGGTCCGCTGAGTTTTCTCCAGGCGCAGAGTTGTTTCACTTGCGTCAAGCGCCTGGTGCCCAGCCACAGTTTACAGTTTGACTCCTACAGATGAGCCGTGCTGGAGTTGTGCGTCTCATACAGAAGAGCCCTGCCCTTCGGCTTTTGAATGCCTCTTGTCATGCCTCTTGTCGTGAACCACAGGTTTCGGCGCTTAGACTTGGGAGAAGAAGCTCGAAGCAGCTGGCCTTGCCCGAGAAATTGGTTGACTTCGGGTGTGATATGTTAATGTCCTTTCCAGGGAGATGTAATTTTCCAGTAAATCGGTAGCCATGAAAACGGCCCCACTCCAAAAACCCTCTCCCGCCCTTCAAGGTGGCGAAGCTCGCTGCATGGTTTCGCGAAGATGTGGTCGTTGCATGGATGTAGCAGCTGATGTAGTGTGAACTTTTGGGGTTCACCTTTTGAGGGCTTGGGTTTGTTTCGGGGTTTGGGATTTGGGTTGTTAGGGTTTAGGGTTTGTAGTTTCAGGGGTTTACGATTTAGGATTGGTAATTAGACGAAGGGAGCAAGGGAGAAGCGACATGAGGCAAGGTAACCAAATCTCATGTGTCAGGGGGGGATAATAGCCAGGTAACTTGGCAGCGCCTTTCGTCTCTAAAGCCGAGTGTTGGTTCTTCCGGTAGCATTCCCGATTTGTAGTTTGCAGTTGTATAATTGTACGATGCTTCCAGCAAATGTGCATTATCCATCTTCCATTCTTGTGGAACATACTGGCACATGTTCATTCTCTAGACAACACGGAGAGTGTACACTTAGGGTGTTTCCATTTCCGCTTTGAAGGCACCCAACCGTTTTTGTGTCTCGCCCCACTGCTTTTGTCAGAATCTGTTTCGGGTTAGACAGAAACGTCCTTCTGATCGCGCTTGCGATGAAAACTGTGGCATGGCGTCAGGCATAGGACAGCCCAACAGGACGGTCTCTGGAGAAAAGACATGGACGGCTGCTCAGAACGCACGAGAATCGAGGTCCAGCGAAGATTCCGTTTTTGCGGAGGGCTGAAATGAGTCACGAGTCATGGGAGGCTGTTTCTCCCTCACTCCTGTCCCTGCTTCGAGGGGAGGGTCTCAAAATGATTTTCCTCAAACAATGTGTTTCCATTTACCTGAATCCATACACTTGGAGACCTGGCGAACGTCCTTTTTCAACCGCCTAGAATGGAATAGGTATTCCAACCGCTATTTGAAGCGTGATGATCATCCCGGCGAAGTCAGTAGACTGTTGGCAACTCTGCATGGGGTGGTCACTGTGAGTGCCATGGGCACGATCGATCTTGCAGATGGAAACTCTACAAATCCCAATGGGCCTAGAGAAGGCTTTTGCCAAATAGACCTTAACTGTCCACCATACCCCGAACATGCTTCTAAACTGTAAACATGACGCCAGGCATCAGACAGAGGATTGTTTTTCCATGATTCTCTTGGGCAAAGTTGTGTCGATTCCCCTTGATCCACACACCCCGAGAAAGGTAATGTATGGAAGGGGGGTCGCCTTCCCACACATTTGAGGAGGGGGACGCCGTTTTTTTTCAGGGAATCACCAGGGGACAGACCTCATGTCCGCTTTTTGTGTAGACCCCCCTTTTTGTCGCTGGACCATGGGTGGGAATTCGCCAAGATGGGAGTTTCGATCAGCGGCTCGGCAGGCATCGACAACTCGCTGGACGAGATGGGTTGCGAGGACGATGACGAGGAGGAGCCAAAAGGGCAGCGAAGTGAAACCCTGGTTGAGCCTTGCGACCCCCGGTGCTCTTTCCCCTGTGTAGGTCTTCTGTAGCCCCTCCTTAAGGCGACCTGAAAGTCTTCTCTTCTCAAAACAAGACTTGAAGTGGCAAATAATCAAGAAGACCACAATAGTCACCATTTAAAGACAAAAGGGAAAGTAGCTGGTTACCTACTAGTGCGACTTGTCTAAAATGCAGATGCACCGAGACCTGTTTCGGCTTCATGCACTGGAAAGGGGTGGTGCGGTGCGCAACTCATTCGGACCACCCAACAGCCCAGCATCCCCGGGTAAATTCGAAAGTGCTTGTTAGACCTTGTGAGCCTTTGTTTGTGAATATTTGGCTCTGGAAGCATTCCTGCAGTTTGAATAACCAGTTCATGGATCATGGAATTTGGAATTCTTGAGCATCTGTGGTTTCAACGTATCTGTTTTAGGGGACCCCCAAATGGTGGGTGTCCCTTTGGTTTCCCTTTAAACCAGCCACACAAACGGTACCCTCAAAAAGGACAATCCCCATATTCCCCTGAATCCTCATGGATTGATTCGGGTTCCCCCAAAAGCGGCCTTTCTAGAGCCCCGCAACCCGTGGGCCCGTGGGCCCAAGCCTTAGGCACTAGGCGCGCGAACAGCTCTCTTTGGGGATGGGGGAATCGCCCCCGCTTGGGCCACTGACAGCCACAGGGCTCCTGGGTTCCAGTTCATTGAGAGATGCCTGTAAGGTTAGTTCCCTCCCATCTGCAAGTTGGTTTGTCGCTTGGTCTCGTAGGAATTCCTCCGTCATTGTCCTTTGAGGGTTCAGCTCCCAACAAAGGGAAAGAGTTCGGAGGAGCGCGGCCTATCTCGCCCCGCGCCATGGGGTGCTTCATCTTACCAGCTACTCTCCCACAGGTGCGAGGAAAAGTAGATCATTTGCATTGGGCAAGGACAGCCTGCCCTCCCTGGCGCGTTGGCTGCGAATCAGCCCGGACCCTCGCGGGTGCGGAAGCCATTCAGAATGCGCGGACCTTTTGGGATACGTTCTCACAGATTCGGTCAATCCCAGCCTGAAGAAGGTCCCAGGGTTTCCTCATGTCCAGGTGAGTAGTAAGTTGCTCAGAAGGACCAGCAAGTGCAGATAGATTGCAAGACGTGCCAAGCTTGCAAGGCAACCCTTGCAAAACATCCTCAGGGGTGCTACGGTGTTCGACGTGGCAGGATCCTTTGCACAACCGGCGAGTTGGACAACATGTTTTTCATGTGGCAAGGCGACCACGCGCAAACTAGAGTCAATTGCGAGGGGTGGCCTGTTCGACGCAAGTATGCTGACACAAGCCAGGTAGATTCAGCGTTCAATGTATTCTGGGCTGTAATTGTTTCATGCAGAAAGCACAGTAGATTGCAGTGTGATGTTATGCTTATCACTTGCCATACAAGGCATCCATGGGAATTGCAGAAATACGAGCCTACAGCAAGAAGGGGGAACCAGGCTTCCTTGGATGTCCCCTGCAATCATCATCACCACACCAAACGGAAACTCATCAACGTTCAACCGGGCGGTGATCTTTAGACGTCCCTCCTTTGGACAGATGAGGCGTCTGGGGAACGAGTGCTTCAACCCATGAACGTGATGTGGGTACCCATGTTTGAGGTTCCAGACATCCAGGTGGTTGCCTTTGCCGAAGGCCTCAAAGCTGCCGGACTGTTCTCCGCAGCTTACTTCATGTGCCCCACTCTTGCACAGGCTGTGATGTTGCGAAATCAAATCACCAGGACTCACTTTGGAAGGTGATTGACGTGATGAAACGCAAGACACTACCGCCAGCTGTTCAACCCAATCCCAGCAATCTGGGACAAAAGTTCGGCAAGCTGGGATCACAATTCCGGTCTGTTTCCTTTTGAATCACGTATTTCAGACCCTTGCTCCGAATTTTGTGCTTTACTTAGGATGATTGAGGTTCAAGGCAGGCCTCCTTTTCTTGCTGACTTGGAGATGCTATGAGAAACAGGGGTGCGGAGAAGTGAATCTCCAGGCCGGCCAGGTCCACCTTCCGATGTCGGGGTCTCATGATGGCGTCCCGATTTAAGCTGAGCCAATCCTTTTGTTTTCTTTCTCAGGACTTCAGCTGGTGAACTTGATGTCCACTGTTCTACGGACCAACACATCTGGGCATGTTTGTCAATCTCACCTTGTTTTTGTTAGCGGCGTCATCCATAAAGGTTCCTTTCCCTTGAGGCTGCCTATCTGCGAAGCATGCGCGTATGCTTTCATTCAGTCTTCACAGGTTTCGCTTGCCCCGGCATGTTCTGCAGCATTTGCTTGCTTACCTGGATACGCTGAGCGGCCCAGACAACTGAAAGTTGATCCGTTTCCCACTCGCACACCAGACGTCTCCGTGCTATTGACCGTATTGACTCACCGATTGTGCTTGTTATCGACTTCAAAAGGCCAAACGGAATCCACACCATGTCTAAGTGTCTGGTCAACTTCTGACACGCATTAGCACATGTGATTGTTCTGTCAACCTGCAAGCAAGAAGCAACCAGCAGGAAAAGAAAAGAGATGCCTTCTCTGCGAATCTGTGAGGACATGGCATCCAGCCAAACAGTATCATATCTAGCCAGCAAACGGTGCACCGGCCCCCTGACCATGGCGTGTGCCCAATGACTGATCTATGACTGCAGGCCGCTCTATGCGTGTTGATCAGCGCACCATTGGCTAACTGTTAGGCATTGGAGCAAGGAGTCTGCGTATATATGTCATGCCCGTCTCCCTGTATAATCATCTCACTTGCCCAAAGCAGACCTTTTAGCCTTTTGGTTTGCCTGACTTGGTTCAGTTTTAATTAGTCAATTTCTCGGGCCTTTTGGGCAAGTAAGCTATAGGCAACCAAGGGAGCCCCTCTTCAGAAACCAAAGGAAAATGGCTGGTTACGTACTATACGGAAACTGGGATCCACTGGGTACTTGTATGAAGTCATTTTGATAACTACTTCATGGGCTTTGGAATTTGTTCGTTTGGTATGGGGGGACAGTGAGCCATCCGTGAAGGGACCGGTTTGAAGGGAAGCCACCGCGAAATTGTCTAGACAATGTTTGAATATGTGCCCCTGGAAATATAATGTACGCCACGCCCAAGAACCCCACTGGTAGTTTTGGGTGCTTCTACTACCTAGCTCAATTTGGGAGCTTCTATATACCTTTGCAACTCTTGGTGTTTCCCAGCCGTCCCTTTCCCCTTAGCTTTTTAGCTTGTTAGGGTTGAGTGGTAGTTTCCATTAAACCCACAGAAAGTTAAACTTTAGGAGGGGATCTGAGGACAGCCCAGAACCAAGTTAGCAGAACCACTGTTAATGGGCGTTGAGCGCTTCTCATGTGTTCTCTCCTACCACCTGGACCCACAATCCAAGAGGGGATAAAGGCCCTAGCAGAAGCATTTCTATGTCTGGCCGCTTGCCAGGTGAGTTGTCTTCTCCCGCTGTCTCCCTCTCTCGTTCTTTCCTCTCCGTTGGTTTCAACTGATTACACCGGCTGTTCTGGCCAGCATGCCCAGATATCAGGGTTGTCTAAGAAAAACATGTCAGCGATGTGGAACATCTGCCAGCTGACTTGGGGGATCCCCGGGTGAAACATGTGAGGTTCTGTCAATTTTTCCAGCAGTCTACGCTCCATTTGGGAGGGACATGGGCTCACTAGATTGCCTCAAAGCCAGGGAACGCTTCATAGGGGAGCAAGGAACTTTCACCATGGCTTATATGAGTTTGGGATGCTTCGGAGACCACTGGATGAGTGGCAATGTGCCGCTTCCCATGGCTGGTGTTTGGTGTGACCAAATCGCCCCATCGACCTTTCGGAAGCAAATGCCTTTCCATGCCGTGCAGGGCGCGGACCCATTTTGGCACCCTCTCGTTGAGGATCTGCGTTGTGCCACAGTAATATATAGCTCTGGGTTTTGACCAGATAAGGGTTTTGGAGCTTTGACAAGTGTTACAGTTCTGGACAGCTGATCTGAGGTTCCATGGAACGAGGGGAGATATGGACAGGGGCGGGATAAATCTTGGGGGATGCTTTGCTTTCGTGGATCCCAGTTGCAAGTTGCAAGCCACAAAAGTAGGATGTTGCTTCCCTTGAAGTCGTCACACGCCAATCGCCGCCATCGCCAGGCGCGCGCCGTTTCCCAAAGGGGGTGAACGCAGGCCGGCTTTTGGTGGGGGCCGGAGGCTATTCCGTAGGGTCTTCAGGACCTGGTTCTACAGTCCAGGAATTGTACAGCGTGTGGAAAAATGAGGGTACCCTTTCTTAGGATACAAAGGGAACCCAAAGGGAGAATTGGCCCCATTGTTGAAACACACCAATTTAGAAGTAGCTCAAACGCGGCTGAACCCGTGAACTCTGTGAATTCGATGCAGTCCATGAGTACTTTGTTTCTTGCCATCGGCCTTTGATTCAGTTTCTGGGGGTCAATGGCAATCAGCAAGCAATACCGGTGCCAGCATACGCTCCAAACCCCCTGGCTTGACAGAGAGGCCTGGCCCAAGGGGGCCATTCGTTCAGAAGCGGAAGGCTTTCCGTCCCTTCAAAGAAAAAGAGCCGGTCCGTTCCTCTGGAGGATGGCCTTTGGTGCAGGAACCTTGCTTGCAAACAGTCTTGGGACGATGCCGCGATCCCATAGCATTGGCTCCCTTTGTCTGCTTTGTTGTCTTGTGTGTTGCCCAGTTGCCAGTGGAATCCACCCCTTTTGGAGGTTTTTCAAGGATCCATTGAGTCCTTGTCCCTTTCTAACTATCTGAGAGGATCTCTAGTTTTGACATACCCAGTGTTTGTTTGTTTTCTTGCTTGCTTGCTTGTTTGTTTGTTTGTTTGTTTGTTTGTTTGTGTGTGTGTGTGTCTTTGTTTATCGATTTATGTATGTCTTTCTGTATTTCTTTCTTTAGTTCTTTGTTTGTTCGCTGAAGATGGAGGAGGAAGGATTCAGCGACGCCCAGGGGGAAGACGTGGAATGACACTCTGGGGATGCGCCGAGACCGCTCCAGGGCGGCTCCTGGCGGGAGGTGGGGACACGCCAGACACTGCGACCTCAAAACCGGAACGACGGCCTCTGTCATGGGCCACTGGACGCGGACCCGGTCCGCAGACGACGTTGCACCTTGAAGTTGTGGGATGCCCGAGGACCCAGAAGCTTGGGTATTAGAGATGATTCGTTGGGTGGGCAATGACGCCCACTTCAAACACAACAAAGCAAGACATGGGTCCCTATTTTTCTGGGTTGATTAAAGAGACATCAGTCAAAAGCCCCCGGTTTTAAAGGTCCCTCTATTTGCACACTCGTATGTACGTACAGAACGCTGCGAAACCCTCGGATTCTGGAACACAACTCTTATTCGACAAATCCTCACACACCAACGACGAAATCCTTTGAACTCGCCAAGAAATCCACCAACGAATCAACCGCTCACAAAATCCTGGCTTGAACCCATCCACAAACCAAACTTGCTGGTGCTCAGCACAAAATGAAATGAGGGGGTCCCCTTAAAGGAAACCACGAGGGATGGTTTAGGGAGGTCATTCCTCATTCCCTGAGCACCAGCAAGTTAAATGGGTGTCTTTGTTTGAGGCTTAGTTTAGCATTTGTTTGGCCCTGAGGGTACCAACTCAAAAAAGCTAGTAACTGGAGGTTCCCCAAAGCAAAAGGCTTCTGACAGCGAGGCTTCTCCGCGCTGCTGCAGCTGGTGAAGATCACAGAGGGACTGAGCCACGCCGGCCTGCAGCAGGCGTGGAGTAACGCGCGCTGCGCTTGCCAGACCTACGGCTTCCTTCCATGTGAATTGGTAGGAGGGCACCTTTAACTCTTGCCCTTGTTGGTTTTCCATCAGCTTCAAGGCAGCAGGCATCTTCCCTTTGAACCAGCAAGCAGTTTGTTGTTTGCAGTTCGAGTCTGACCTAGTTGCTTTATCTTCGGGCGGACGCATTGCTGTCAGTGTTATGCCTAGCTCCCGTTCCGGGGCTTGGCATCACCAGAGGTTCCTTCGGGGGTGTCCTTGATTTTCGGTTGGTGAGTAGTAAGTTGCCCAGATGAGACGTGAACGAGCTTTTATGAACGTCAGGACACTTGGATTGGAGGGGGTTAACCGTCAGAACGCTTCCTGTGGATCGCCAGCCCATGAACCCCAGCCACAATGCCACAATTTCATCCTGGACCTGTTGAATTGGAGCAAACATCCAGGACCCATAGTTTGTTGCTTTTTAATGATGAAACAACAGAGGGCACCCTTTCAACAGGTAAGCTCGGCTACGGGGGTTCCTTAAACAAGGAACATATCGGTGTCTTTTTTTGAGGGTACCGGGGTCCAACCTTAAAAAAGGAACCCCACCCTTAGGCTATGTGGAAATGTGAGGTGTTTCAAGGATTCATGTAGCAGGCCTGGTTAAAAAAAGCGTCATGGTTTTTCCGTTTCATGTGTTCCCATGCTGCACGTGAAGATTTGGTACAAGTACCCCAGGGGCAAAAGGAGGCTTCTCCCATCGGAGGATTGGAGTGACTGACGTTTGGAATTGCTGTGTTGGTTGGGTTCTCAAGGGAAATTGAAAGTGGAACCACCAGTTGAAGTTTTTGAGCCCCATTTTAGAGACAAAACCAAGTGTAGTTTGACCGGACAGCTTCAAAGAGATCCCGCCGCGGGCAATTGCCGGTTGACCAGAGCTTTGTCTCAGAAGGGGAGGGGGCCCCGCTTGAAGATCATGCAACAAAAAAGATTTTCAAAAACAGCAAATCAAGCCCCCTTCCAGGCAAAGCCAGTCAATTTAAACGCCGAGCCATCGATATTCCAGATACTGCAGTGGCTGCGATTGGACAGGCGCAGCTGGAAGAAAATCGATAATTACCCGGACACTCAATGAACTTCCCCAGCCTGTTCAACTTTATTGGCACGGCTACGTCAGTGCACAGCCCCTCCTCACTGGGTCTTTTTTTTCTGCTTACAGAAACAAGCGCGATCAAGAAAACCCTTTCACTTGCTACTGAGATGTTTTTGTGTTTTCAATCGGAATCTCTATCACTAGTGGACATATTTGAAATATCTTCATCTTTCCCAGGCGACTTAGCCGCACAGGGACCGTTTCGTCCGGCATGCAAATCAAAACCTGGCCTCCAGCTTCTTCATGCGGAAGGGTGCTGAGAACCCTGAGCACCTCCAGAACCTAGGGGAGCATGAAACCTTTTAATGCTATCCTTTCAGCAAATGGGTGGTTTAGACATCCCAGTGTTTCCGTTTGCCACTGCTGGCAATCATTACGATTTCGCTTGGTCACCTAGGCAAGTTCTCCATGACCATTTAGACAAGGGGGCATGACGAGCCCCCCCCAATTGTGTAAGGGTCATGAAGACTCCGGGTACCAAAACAGAGTCGCCGACTTGTTGCTCGGGGGGTCGCCTTCCGCTCGGCGATAGGAGTTGGCGCAGAAGGTCCTGGTCGCTGTGGACTCATGCCAGGAGGGCCCCGCCGGACCGTGTAGGGAGTGGGGGGTTTTGTTGGGGCCCGGGCTGGGGCTAAGAGTGAAATGGGAAGAGGACGTTCTCTGAGAATCCAAAGGCATTTCTGCGAAGGAGTGGTTTTTGCCATGGACATTTCGGGGATCCTCACATCTGGGAAGTCTGGGTCCAAGCCTGGGTCGAACCTCTGCGTTTTTTACAAGGAGATTCCTTGCAATCCTTGAGCCTGAGGTCTTCTTGGGGAAGCCAGGTTCCCTCCTTAACTTTGCGGGTCCGGAAGTATAGGCAGCCTTCCCCAGAGCCCATTTCGCAATGTATGGAAGCCCCGGCGCCCCTGGGAAAAACCAAGGAAGTGTCCAAACAATGGGACCGACAAGGTGGTTATAATAGTTTATTGTTTTTGTTACGATTTTTTTGGAGTCAGGCGGAAGATGAAGCTCACAACTTGGAGGATGCTATTCCTGTTTTGACGCAGAATTGACACAAGTATGTCCTAAAATAGGCGACGCCTCCGGTTAAGTTACTTTTGGTCTCACAAGGGATCCAATGACTGTTTAATTTCAGACGACACGTCGGCTGTTAAATCCACTCCACCCCCCAACTGCTTTTTTCCCATGTCCAAAACCCCAAGTCTTCCGGAAGGGGTTAAGGGTGCAAAATGTCCAGCCTCCGGCCTGTGGAGTTGCCATGTCTACCCCCTGGTCGCCTCCTGCTTCCTAAACCAAGACCTGAGCTTGCAACATGGGAGGGCCCTCCGAGAAAGTTGTCTCCATGCTTTTTTGAGACCCGGTACCCTGTTCGGAGGTGGGTTCAAAAATAGGAAGCAAACCGACATGATCCATTTTGGGGCTTCCCCCGCTTTCAAACGGGGGTGCTTGTCCCATCGACTGTGTCAGGCGCAAGTTCAGGGCTGTGTGAAGCTGCTTCTGGAGGCGGGGACTTCTGGCCGCTGAAAGGGGTGTCTGAAACCCCTCCGTTCTTCGGTGGCTTTCCAGGCCCAGACCCTTTTTGTGAATGGCTTTAAACGAAGCATCAACCTTTTGTAACGTACCCAAAGGAAGCACCCATTGAACGCCACCCCGGCATTCAATGGCGGCGAGCACCAGCACCATCAGAACCATGAGAGCCATCATCAGGCTTCAGGCAAAAGACACGTCAGAAACCAACCACCGCCAAGCACCCCGTGCTTGGGATTGCTTCAAACGGAACCACCCCTTTTTTGCTGGTTCACCGAATTTTTGGATGGAAGCGCACGTATCAAAAACACCCAAGAGGATCTGGGTTGGCCGATTGAACCACCTGGTAACCCTTTGAGGGTTCTTTAGCTGTACAATTCACGACGGCCGTCGTGCGTTGCTTTGGGCCGTTGGACTGCCCGTTATCTCAACCATGCCGCGCGGCAAAAGGGGGACTTAGGATGTGTGCTGTTGATCGGGTTTGCTGTCACAGCCGTTCATCCTGGACCCTGGAGAGTCATGTTTGAAGCTCGTTTGTTTCAATCCAATTTTCAACAGCGAGGGAGCTCTGGCATCTTAATCGTAAGCGTGGCTTCTCTCTGTTTCTAGCAAAGTTTGTGCCAAAGCTAAGCAGTATGCCGACTTTTCTTGATGGATGCTTTCTTCCAATCAGCAAATGTCAATTTGCTTAAGAATTATTGTGTATTTTTCCTGCTGGTTTCAAAGGGAATCCATCACAACTACTGGAAATGGGTGTGCCTTTTTTTGAGCGGACCCTTGTTGGCGGTTGGCTTAAAATAACCCAGTTGGGCGTTCCACGTCCTATTTTGAGAACCCCCTCTTAAAGGAAACCATAGGGTTGGATGGTTTACTGACGTCATTCCAACTCATTCCCTGCTGAGAACCAGCCAGAAAAAAAACACATGTGGGAGGTCCACATCCCATTTTGAGATTTTGCGAACCCGCACCCCCACACCCAAAAAAGAAAAACACAACAACATGTTTTTCCAGGACGTCTTTGCCAAAGTCCGGGGGGTTTTCTCCCCGGACGCGTGCCCCCCGGCTCTCGCCTAACGTCTGAGGCGCTGGCTCTGAGCAAGCAGCAGCACAGCCCCGAGCTGGCGCTGGACTCCGCCTGGGCGTTGAACGAGCTGGCGCCTTTGACGAATGTGGCCGTGGTTGTCAAAACCGCTTTGGGATCCCATTTTGGTTGGTAGGTGAATTCACCACCCATTTTAGAACCTATTTTAGTGGGGATTGGGATGTTACTGGGGGTACGATTTGGATTTTGAGCCATGTCCATGTTGCCCATACCAAGTGGTAGGGCCTCAGTGACAGTGATTAGCAACCATTTTGAGTCAAGGTCCTTCTAATGAGCCACATTCCTAAAATAACGTTGATCCCATATTCATCAACCAACCATTTTGTGTTATACGGGGGTGGGCGAAAACCTCTCCAAAAACCAGTTTATGTTCATAGCGGGGGTGGGCGAAAACCTCTCCAAAAGTGGTCTGATTCCCCTATAAACCAAAGCCCGGGTTCATTCCAACTCTCATCCCCTACCCACCACCAGCAAGTTATGCCTCACCTCAATTGGGAGCCCCGCATTTGCGTCCACTGACTTTGACCCTTAACGTTGACCCCATATTGATCAACCCCAGCTTATTGCGGGGTGTCCCTGGATGAAATGTGGGGTCAATCCCTCATTCCCTGCTGAGCACCAGCAAGAAAAGCACCCTCCAAATCGAGGAAGTCTAAAAACAAGGAGGCTGTTGGCAGGTTTCTATATACAACCTTCAATTGGCGTTGGGTCCAAGGGCTGAGGGTGCGGGTTCTGCAGAGGAGTCATGAGCCGCGCACCACTAAATTAAACACGTCTTCTGCAAATGGTTCGGGCGGGGGGGACACGTGCAATGTAACCAGGTCTCATATAACTGGGGCTACGTCGACTGCTTCTGCCTGTTCTCAAGTCAGAAACTGGCCAAGGGCCCGGAAGTTAACAAATCTTTTTGAGACCATTCTTGTGGCAAACTTCTTGGGTTCGCTTCTGTTGCCCCATCTCGCTCGGACGTGAGCAGCATACTTCACCCGCTGGATCCGGGCCGCGGGGTCCGAAGCCAATGACCCAATGACTTCCTGGGCCCCAGAGGAAGAAACCCGTGCTATGAAACCGGTCTGAATCCAAAGGAGTTGGACGCCCCCAATCAAAATCATGTGGTGGAACTTCTGGTGTTCGCATGGCTCTTAGTTTCAGCTGTGTTGGTGTGTTTGCCCCTCCCTTTTCCGATTTCACTCGCGCCCAATGGCCGCGCCTGGCCTTGGGCGCCATATCCGCGGTAGGCCCAGAAATCCAACGTGGTGTCTGGGTGGATCCTGGGGTGCGGCAGCACCAGTCTGCTGAGAGAGTGCCTCATTGCGCCCAGCCAGCGTGTGGGTGGCTTTGGGGCGCGGGTTAAGGGGTGGGGTAAGCGGCTTCCATTTGCTTAAGAATGTTTGTTAGTTTCCCTTTCCTTGTTGGTCTTAACGGGAATTTATCACTACTGGACATGTTCCATTGATTTCCGGAGGGCTAAAGCAAATGGAAGGCACAGTTTTGGGTTTGGGCTGCTTTAGGGTTCGTGGGGTGGTCTAAAGTGGAAGCCACTTGCTTCAACCCGATTCGGGGTACATGAAGGTTAGTAAGGGATAGGCCCAACCAGAAATGGGTGCAGCCGCCCTTCAATTCGTTGCATGGTTCTGGGTAGACCATTTAAATAACCCGATTATGACTCCGTTAGGTTTAGGCGTAGTTTAGGGTCTTGGTTAGATTAGGGTTGGTTGAAGTGGGTTTTCGGGTGGGCTTAGGATGGCTTTGAGGGGCCTTAGGGTTTGTTTTAGATGGGCTCAGAGGCCTTGGGGTTATATAGATTAAGTTTAGGATTCGGCCGTCTAAGAAACCCAAAGGAGATTCTGCTTGGTTTGTTTGGTTTTGGTGCGTGTTTGGCCCACCTTCCTGTCAAACTTGTTCATAGCTGGTCTGGTCTCTATGAGCTGCGTTTTGTAGTCACGTTTAGGGTCTCCGGGCTGATACAACTTGAGTTTGGGGGTCTCAGGGTTGGAGTGGTCGATGGGTTGAGGGCTGATTTGAGGTGGCTTTGAGGAATGGAGTGAGGTTGGCTGGAGGAATCTTTAAGGCAGTTGAGGCTTTTATGTGGGTTGAGGATTGATCATGGTTTCAAGGCTGATTCGGCTGGGTAGAGGGTTGGGTGTAGGGTGAATATGGGTTCGGGGGTTGCCTTTTCACGGTCCCTAGACTTTTACCATTCGCTAGCACAATCGTAAGCTGAACTGTTTGTACCAAAGTTATTAGATATATAGGTATATATATATATATATGTATATTCGAATTTTCGAAACAGTCCTCGCAATGTGGTGGTTGGCAAGCATAATACCCAATTTGCAGTTTCGCCGCTAGATCTCTTTTGGTGGCTCCCTCGGTTCCCTGCAACTGGCATCGCGGGGAGACGTCCCACAGATTGGTTTTGAGAGGCCAAGCATGCGAATCTGCAGTGCGCGCACAGGGTCACGCAGGGTTCCGGGGCTTTGGAATCACTGCCGCGCTTGGCGTAGCCCTGGGTTTCTCCAAATGGTACCAAAAGAAACACCTCTCAAAGTGGATGGAACGCAAGGCACCTTCACCCAGAATCGGTTCCCAGTGTTTCCTTCCTTTCGGAGGGGGTTTACTGTAAACCTTTGCAGTCAAAGAATGGACGAGCCCCCTTTGTTTTCCAAACAGGGGTCACATTGGCAGGAGGGATCCTCTTTTAGCAAGTTTTGACCAACTTTCGATGTGACGATTGTGTGGAGCAGCCCTGTTTTAAATCCCTGTCTTTGGAGCCAACCCTGAGACTCCATTACAAAGGGACACCTGGAGCAGGGTTCCCCTTAAAACCACCAAACGCTTTCGGCTCCAGAATAGACATGGCTCGGTTGGGCGTGTCTTCCTTGGCGAAAAAATATCAAAATGGTTTCTGTTTTGGCTTCCATCTAACATCAAAAAAAACAAATGGGTACTCTCAAAACAAGAGACCCATTTGGGCCTCCAACGCCCCTCCCTTGTCTGCGCTTTAAAGTTTCCCGGCGACAAAAGGCTGAAGCCCCACCTAGGTCTACTGCGACCGGCGCGACACCGTGGAGATCTGCACTTGGTTGGTAGGACGCTTGGAACCGGGGAATTTTGCGGGTACGAAAATGGAAAACAGGAGAGCTCCGTTCAAGGGAACCCAAAGGAGCAAGACTGTTGTTGTTTAAGGGCCACACGGATCAACAGGGAACTTCCCAGTTTGCGGGTTTTCAAGGGTATCCGCGTTGGGGTTATCTTCAAGGGAAATTAAACGGGAGTCTGAGGCAACCCAAAGAACCACACAGGTGTTGTTTCTCAAGTGTGCCCCCCTTCTTGCGGAAACTGGCAGGGAAAACACCGATTTGGAGGGTTGCCTACATTGCGGACAAACCCAATTAAACATTTCAACTATTGGTTCTTTTTTCTTCCGGGGCAAGACCGCCCAAAGTTGATGTTTGTGCGAGAAGTTCCATCCGACGGCATGTTCTTTTTGCTTTTGCTTTCTTTGTTTCGGTGGATGACTCAACCTGCTGAAGTGGCGGAGCAACGGTGCCATTCGACTTAGGCTGTCTTTCGGTACCCAAGAAAAACGGACAGTGATGGAATCCACTGCGATCATTTGCTCGCAGCGGTAAGTTCGAAACGGGAGGGTCAGGTTAGCTGCGCAGTTCCCTCAGAGCTTTCAGGAAAGACCGGTGGCCTGAAGGGCCTGCTGTCGCTGCTGCGCCTTTCGTGCGGCAAGAGTTTTCCTGTTCGAAGTCGCCTTGCTTTAGGTCTGCCCTTTCGAAGCTCGAAGCTCGCTGCCTTTCCTTGGGGAAGTGTCTGCTTCGAAGATTCGCATGAAACCATGATAGAGGGGGACCTTTTCTGAGCGTCCTTCTATTTTTGTTTTTGTGCGGGACGACATGCTGTGCTGTGATTTGCCTTTCGGAAGGACCAGACAAATATCAGTTTCCGACTTTCGGATGGCAAGTATCACGACTTGGACTTAAAGGTTTGCGGGATACGTCATGACGCCTGTGACTGGCAAAGCGGAGGATTTACGTTTTTGGGCGAGTTTCGCTTGAGCAGACTGCTCCTTGGACTTCCTATTTGTTCGGGGGTTGGTGAGTTGGAATGTGATTGCTAGTCTCTTGGTGGGGGGGTTGGGGCGGGGGGAGTGAAAACCAGGCGCCCTACAATCTATCACTGTTGGAAACATGTATTTCCCATGGGACTTCAGGACTTGGAGGTTCCTATGATGCTTGGGATGGCTGTTTTCTGCAGGAAAACCACCAAACTACCCATCCGAACCACCAATTGGGAAGCTGATCTGCCCGAAGGCCATGAGCTTGGGGTTCAGGGTTTGGATTTGTGGAATTGGCAGGTCACGTGGGAGGCTCAATTGTGCCATAGCCAAAGCAGCCTTTTACGTTGGTGGAAATGGGTTCCGGATGCAAAAACCAGAGGGGTTCCTGCCGAGGGGACCAAAACGGCGACCGGCCCACAACGGAGTTCTCACCGTGGCTCAAATGGCAACACCCATTTGCCTGCAAAGCGCGTTCTACGGGACTGCGAGCCGAGCCAAACCAAGCAACCAAGCAACCAATCAACCAATCAACCAATCAACCAACCAAATTTGATCCTCCTTTGTTCTGTGCTTGGTCGTTATCCCGGCAAGATTCAGAACATCAGCCTCTTCGCTGAATCAACCAAACCAGTGCCAGGTGGTTTGGGCTATCCGCAAGCCCTCACTGCTTGGTTTCACCTGGAACCTTGGTGGTTGAACGGAAGCTAACAGTGGATGATGGACATGTCTGCCATGTCTCAAAGTAACGGACCCCCGCAACATGTGCGGTTTCCCTTCCCTTTACAGCCGCTCCACATAGCACAAAGTGTACGAACACCGAAAAGGCAAGACCCGTTTAGAATGGTCTTCCAATTCAGGGTAGCTGTGGAATGTGGCTGACACCGATAGGGGCTCACTCAAACGGATGCATACATATTTCGTACTATATATATATACCGTACTATATATACCCTGTAAATCTCCAGCATTTTGCGAGGCACGCTGTTGTTGTTCGTTGCCTGACCTTTTCACGGCAACCCCCCCCACCCCTGCCGGGGAAAATTCACTGGGGCTGGGGGTCGGAAGCACATCCGAGGTGGTGACCCTGCGCTGCCGCAACAGGTGGTGGTGCGCGTCTTCGACATCATCTGCAAGGATTTTCCGCGCAAGATCTGTAGGCAATCAAGAAACACACGGGCTTGACTTACAATAGGGGAACTCCCCAAAATGATGCTGCTGCTTTTTGGTTGTCCTTTAAATCTATTAAATAAATGGTACCCTCAAACAGAATTGCTGACTGTCAGACATGGGGCAAATGAGCAGGAAACGGACGGCCACGAGCAAGTGAGCAAGCTGGAGGCTCTTCTCTTGGTACCAAAGAAATCAGACCTGAACTGGCAGATTCGAAACCCAGACCCCCGGTTCGTTCCTTTTGCAGGGGGTGTGCCTTCAACCAACAAAAGGCTGCCCTTTTTCTCTTACCACTGTCTGAGCAAATGATAGGTCCAGGGTGTGGGGGCTCGCTCCAAACACAAGTGGATTGATTCGTGGAGCGAGCTTTTTGCGACTTGAGAAAACATTGGGGGCCTTTGGGGGGAAGGGTATTTTCTTGAAAGGCTGCCGCAAAAGCTCGCTTGTCACATTGTCCCAAGAAATATGGAAAAACTGATTGGGAACCTATGCCCTCGGGCAAGGACGTATGGAGCTGTCATGTCTCGCAACGACAGGACAGCAGCTTCTGGCGGGACAAAGATGGTCCAATCGAGGAGGCGCAAAGCCTGGCACTGGGAAACGGAGGGTGGGACTGAGGTAGTATTGGTTTATCTCTCGAAATGGCTGAGATCCCCTCAAAATCGGCTTTGTTGTCCTTTGTGCTTTCCTGAAGCAACCAAACGACTCTACCATCAAGCAAAAGACACGCGGTATAGTGGTTTGCAGTGATTCAGTGGCACCCTTTTCCCTTTTGGTTTGTTTCCCGCCAAAATCGTCGACCCCAACCAGGGAGTGGACCCGTTTCTACCAAGGTCACAGGTCACTGGTTTCAACTGGGCATCGGTGGCCTGAAAGAAGCTTTGGAAAGCCTGCTCTGTCCAGCAAGATGCCTGCCTCTAAGGTGTGCCGTTTCATGTTACGCAAGTAAACCCACACTCCACCGTGAAACCGTGTACTAGTTATTTGCCTTAAACATGGTGTAAGGTTTCCATGGAACACTGCGGCAAAATGATTGTATTTTGCAGTAAGCAACAAAGCTATGCTGATTTGTATGAGTTGGCATGCACCGTATGTCCAGCGACAGGCTTGGGGAATGAGAGGAGATTTAGTCATTGGGAAGGTTGTTTCAGGGCTACGGTCATTTTCCGCAAGGTACGATGGATACCCAAGGGCGTGCAGAGGCTCCCCTTCCAGAAATGCAGTTGCAGCAGTCTGTGCATATCTATGTGAGAGGCTAGCCTTTGCCCAATGCTTGCCCTGCTTGTCAACCCCTGAAGCAAAAAGTGGAGGGTCTGTGGGTGAGTGCTTTGTTTCGGGTAAACTTTGCAGGTTTTGTTTATACAAGGGAAACCCTAAAAAAACATCATTTTGGGGTGGGGCTTCCTTAATTTGACACATAATGTCGGCTCTCAATCAATCAACATGATGGACTAATCAAGGTGTGTTTCCCCCAAAAACCCCTCATTTATCAACCAGCACCCGAATGGGGCGCAAAAGGTTTTCCTGGTACAACCAAAAGCGGGAGTACCATAAAAGAAAGACAACCAGCATGGGTTGAAGGGTGAAACCACATCTCTTTCTTGGACACATATGTAGCCATATCCGTGTTTCTCAAAATGGACCCCCTATTTTTCCGAGGAAAGAGGAAGGCAACAAAGCATTTTAGGGGACCACTTTGAGAGTTATCCCGCATACCTAAGCCAGGATTCAATTCTCGCCATGGGATTTCCCTTACTGGATGTTCAAGCAACTGCGTAAGTGGGTGATAACCATGGTTATAGCTGGGGTAACTGGGGTGATCGTCCCCTTATAGTTAGAGCCTACTTTCCAAGAAACAATCTCCAGGACATTTTCCGGAAAGTAGGTTATAGCCGTGGTTACAAGGGGACGATCGCTCCAATTACCCCAGCAACCATTGGTACGACTCCTTAAAACAAATACAACCAGTTTTTGTAACAATAAATACTTGTTTCCAGTCTCTTCCCCACGGTTTGACCTACTTAAGTTGCTTGAGACCCAGAATTCATCAAATCCTGGTTGATAAATAAGTGGATGTCCCCGAAATCAGATAGAAGCCTGCATGTTTTTGCGGAAACACAGACCCTGAAGAAAATCCGCCTTACTTGAACATCCACTCTAGAAAACGGCTTGGATGGGGCTTTTGTGGATCCACCCCTGTGGGAGATTAAAAGAGTATTAAAATATTCCTAAAAAAGGACCAGGGAGAGGAACAGGTGATTTCCACAACAAACTGCATCCAAACCGTTTTCTAGATTTAAGTACTGGTACCCCCTTTGTTGTCCAGTGGCCTTTTGCCGTGGTTTTGGCTCCTCCCACGTCTTGCGGGGGACCGCGACGTCTCGCCGTGTCCAACGGGTCCGCGTTAGGCGGGGCAGCTGCTGCGCTGCGCGGCCGAGGCGGCGAAGTTTGCGGCGCAGCAGGGGCCAAGGCAGCTGCTGGAGGCCCGGGAGAGGTTTTGAAACCCCGCGGCCGTTTTTTTGGTGCGGGGGGGTGATGGTTTGTTTGTTTTTTTGGGGTGGGGGGTGGGGGGTGGTTGGGGGGTGGTTGGGGGGGACGCGCCTTTCTTGGGGGTGGGTTTACCCCATGTGTTTGTTTGTTTTGTTTGTTGTTTTTTCGGGGTGGTTTTGAGGGGTTACCTTTTTTCGGGGGTGGTTTTACAATTTTTCGGGCAGCCATTTATGGGGTTCTAGAGTGTCCAGCCCAGATTGGTTGCGTCGTTTTGTTGAGGGTTCCTTTTTCGGGGTGGTTTTGAAGGGAGCCAAAAGGAAATCAGCCTTGTCTGGGGGTTATACCATTCTGTGACAAACCCATAGCGGTTTGCGTCTTTTTGAAGAGAGCAAACCAAAGACATATGTTTGGGTTCGCCTATTCTTTGTCATACCCACATGAGCTGCCTTTCTAGAATACGAGCTGACTTACGAAAACATCGGAGACCTAGGAATTGTCATCCAAGGTGTCCTTTCAGGGAACCAACCATTCGTTTTTGGGAGAACTTTCTGGGTTTGTCTCAAAAATCAGGACCATATCTTTTGCCAACAGGATGAGCGATCGATTGCTAAATTCGCGAGAACGAGAAGGGCGCTCCAGATTCGCAGAGTTCCTGAGTCGTGGATCTAGGGGAAAGGGGCTATCACCCACTTCTCCCTGAAGCCACTCTAGTAGGTAACAAGCCATGTGTCTTTGAGTTTTTCTAAAGGACGCTTCCCTTCTATTCTTTGGAGGCTTTCCTTCCAAAAAAACGATGCCTTGATTTGTCTGTGGCTGCTGCATGTTTGGGCAGGGTAGTCTTTTCATGGTTTGAAGGGAACCACATTTGATTTTTGATTGGTTCCCCTATTTCGGCAGGCATACCCACATCAACTTTTGTCTATGTGCTTTCGGGAGGCAACAAAAGGCTGGTCGTTTGTGGGTAGGCTTGACGGACCACATGACATGTGTTCACACAAGCCTGCACTTGGGCCCATTTTGGCTCAAGTGCTGGCAACCATTCTGGTTCCTCAATTTGAAAACTTTCCCTCTCTCTCTCCTTTGTAAGCCATGGCCCTCAGCAGTGCCCCTGTGTACGCTGGCGACATCTCCAAGGCGGCGCTTGCCAAGGCCAAGCCGGACAGTGCTAAGGCCAAGGATGCTATGCGCAAGTTCTTGGAGAAGGCCGTGCAGAAGGACGAGGAGGGCTGGCGCCTGCTCAACCGGATGCCAGCGAGTTCCTGCGCTACCCCGCCATCGAGTGATGCGGAACAGGAACAGGCGCCCATTGCCCCTCAGATGAAGAAGCAAAAGACGGAGGGTGACGACGATATGGCGGCGGCGCAGGAAGAGTCGGAGACCGCCGGCATGGAGGTTGACAGCGGGGCCTTGTCACCCCGGGTGCCGTTGGCCCCGAGCGGGGACGAGGCCCCGATCGACGCCGGAAGAAGAGCTCCCCGTGCGCACCACGCCCAGGCGGCGGGACTTCAACTCCCCGGTCCGGCCGTCACTGGCGGGCCTCAGTGAGCAAGGGACCAGCGGGGGCAGCTGGGATGAAGTGCCGGAGGCCGAGGGCGACTCCCCTGCAACACAGTTCCCCCACCACGGGGGCCGCTTGAGGTGGTGGCCGGCACCCACCCGAGAGGTGCTACTGCCACCCATGTCATGCACCTGGTCGATCAGGACCTCCGCACGGTGGGATGTGGGTGGTCCATCACACCCCAGCGGGCCCAGCATCTTTCTCCGGAAGATTATGCCGCTGAGCCAGCCAAGTATGTCCAATGCAGCCGCTGCTTCCGCTACTACTCCCTCCCGGAGGACTGGGAGGAGGCCCATGCGGACACCAGCCAGTCTGAAGCCACCGACCGACGACAGTGTGGACACCCTCTCGGACAAGGAGGCGATCCAGCTCCCCTTCATCCGGAAGGTGGCACAGCCACCGTGAGCGGGTGGTCAGGGGACCGGTGCCGTGGGCCCGGATTTCCCCGGCTCCTGGTTGGGGGGGGGGGGCTGGAGACCGGGGGGACTGGTGCCGTTGGCTCAGATATCCCTCCTCTCCAACGTTCCTGTCCGTCCGCTGGTTTGGGAGGTGTGTGCGGCCAATCCGTTGGATTGGCGTGAGTTCTGGCCCCACACACCATGCATCAGTTCAGCAGACCTGGAGGGCTGCTGCCCAAACTGGCACCTAACCTCTCACTCTCGACAAAAAGGGGGCTGCTTGCTGTACCCTGTTTGTCCCCCCTCTTCCGTAGCCCCAAGGAAGCCTTTGGGAACACTGGTCGTTTGTGGGTAGGCTTGACGGACCACATGACATGTGTTCACACAAGCCTGCACTTGGGCCCATTTTGGCTCAAGTGCTGGCAACCATTCTGGTTCCTCAATTTGAAACCCGCCCACCCACACCATGGCTGCTCCTAATCCGGCTACCATCCAGCCCCCTGCTGCATGCCCGGATGCCTACCTCGAGGACTCCGGCAAGTTGGCCAAGAACGCGCAGACCATCCTGGTCTCGAAGTGCATCCTGTGGTACATCCAGGCCCGACTCGCAGCGGAGGGTTTCATCACAGTGGAGGACCTGGCCACACGCTGGGACAGCCCGGCCAGAGCCAGGGAGGTGGGCCCCCAGGAGCTGGAGTTCCAAGCGAACGAGAACGGGTACACGGCTGCCCAGTCCCGCCTGGCTGCCACCCGGCTGTTCCAGGTGGTGGCGATGGCACAGGCAACTGTGTGTGGGGACCGGTGGGGGCCTCGCGAAAGGCCCGGCCAGGACATCAAGGGTGCCCCGCCTGGACGCGGCCTGTGACCGGCAACAACTTGAGCTGGGCTGGGTGGAGCGCACCCACCTGCCCAAGCCCAAGCTGGCCCTCCAGGGCAGTGACCAGCTTCTGAAACGCCAGTTTCGTTTTTGTGCCAAGGGGGAGATTGGCCACATCGCAGTGAAACACTTGGTCTCTGCGGCGCCAGACTTTGGGGAACGTCCCCATTCTATCAGGCGCAAGGTCACTGTGGACGGTTGGGACAAAGAAGAGGAGATGTGCATGTTTGCCTTCCCCCAGTTCAGTCAGTTTGACTTGGACAAGGAGGCCCTGGATTCCTTCTATGAATGGTTCTACGGGGAAGACATCGGATCCCGCTACCCCCCGCCCTCCGATGCCACCCTGATGCATGCCGAACGTCAGGCCTGGCGCAAAGTGCAAGAACACATGCATGAGGGGAACTCCCCTCTTCCGTAGCCCCAAGGAAGCCTTTGGGAACACAACCAGTTCTTAGGCCGGAAGTTGAGCTCTTTGTGAGTAGCGGGTGTCCAGTTTGCTCCCCTCCGAGGAGTCGTCCAGCCCAGATTGCGCTTCAAGGGGCGGTTTGACGACCCAACACTAAACCCTACACCCTACAAACCTAAACCTAAAACTGGCAATTTCCGATTGCAAGCTTCAACCCTGAACCTTAAGTCCGGCTTCTTCAAAATCAACGCTTAATCCTTGTGCCGATTGGTAGTGGTCGCTCTGGTTTTAGTGGCGTCCCACTACAGACACTTGATTGCGGATTAGGATTGGTGATTCCTCTTTTGAACAATCCAGAAAGCCGATCTAAACCAGCACACAAGGGTTAAGCCTACGTTGGCTCAAGCCAGGTAACATGGAACGTGGGCTGCATGCAATCTGGCAGAATCGACCCGATTTTTCCGTCTAGGGATCTTGTTTTCCAAAAGGGGGATATTTTGGGGGAATTCACTGTGTGAAACATCGGCATATGGACAAGCACGCTCAGCAGATGAGGTCGTTAATTTTCTTCAGGAGGTTGGAGGGAGGCAGAGGGCTTTTTTATTTTTCCTGGGGAAGGAGAGCACGGTCTAAAAAAAATAATGGCTTCTCAGCAATCAAGGACTCCAAAAAATGGGAACACAGAACGAATTTGACTTTGCCAGGGCTCCGAATGCTCCACATTTCTTAAAATAAATCGCCAAGATGGGCCCATTGCCAAGCATGGGGCCCATGCGCCGAGACCTCCAGTTGCTTTTGCAAGTTTGGATGGGTTTCCCTGTAAGATATACTACCTGGTTGGTGTTCAAAGGAGAAACCACGTAAAAGAAGAAAGCAATTGTGGGCGTCCCGGACCCCAAAATACGAGAGCCCCCCAATAGTGAAGGTGTTGAAAAAGCACTGCCGGCGCTGTTAGGCGAGCTGCCACTTACTGCAGGACAAAGCTGCGAAGCCGGAAGTTGTTGGCCGTTTTCCACTGCGAAGCCGGATTTCCAGTTAAACTGCATGGTTAGATGAATGTAACAGTTGGATTTCTATTCCGGGTGGTTCCCCTCTCAGTTTGGTCGAATTTCAAGTAGGGCGTTTCAAGGGACTTGAAACTTTTGAAGGGTTGGTTGGTTGCAAAATCTGATTGAAACACAACCCACAGTTTGTGTCGTTTTGTTTGAACAGAGTGGAACGACCCAAGCCTGGCCCATGAACATTTCTGCAACCAGTGAGGTGGTAGCTTGCACACAAGAGCCAGGCGACATCCAGAAGGTCTGTCTTGGATCCTTTGTTTGTTTTCTTCTTGAAACATGTTGTCCCCGTGTGACGATCGGGTCGAATGGCAGCTTCCAAATACGAGCGGTTCCCTGACCAAATACGCCTGCGCCAAGCGATCGGAAGTCGAAGGTTGCCGTCCATATGATTTTGACACCTCCAGTCTAGGCAGTTGGGCTGCGACCATAGGCTGCGAAGATGCCACATTTATTCCAACATGTTGTGCCCGAAGGGTACTAGCAATCCAAGGTCGGTGTACCATCATGTTCACGTCTCAGACTGGTTGCACTCGCTAGTACTGGATTGTTGGACTGATCACTTTGCTTTCTTTCTCTTCTTTCTCTTCACACATGTTGCGCTTGGCAAGTCTGTTTCAAAGATAGACACTGGGGAAAGCCCCTCTAACCCCCCACCCCCCCCGGCCCCCAAACCCACCCACCCACCCACCCACCCACCCCAACCCAACCCAACCCAACCCAACCCAACCCAACCCAACCCAACCCAACCCAACCCAACCCAACCCAACCCAACCCAACCCCACCCCCCACCACCCCACCCAACCCCACGCCCACCCCAGGAGATGGCGGCTGAGCCTTTGCTCGGCCAGCAGCTGCTGCAGATGCAGGTGGGCCCTTTGGTGGGACTTCCCTGCGGTTGGCTTTAAAGGCAGACCCAAAGACAAGGCTATGCACGTGAAACTCCTGTTTCTTTGCGGCTTCTTGTTTGGGCCGTTCAAAGGCAATCCGGAAAATCCTTGCCTGGGGTCTCCTTTCTAGTGGTTTTCCAGTTGGGACTATTGGCCAGTTGTTTTTGAACAGCCCAGTACTTGTTTGTCCGCTTGCCAATTTTTAACCTTTGTGTCAGTTTTCACTCTAGGCGCAAGCTTTTCCACATTTCCCAGCCAGTCAACTCAGCGGGAGGGAGTTAATTTTCATGGGAGCCTGTGACCGATTCGGCGGGAAGCTCGTCTTACTTTGAGGCGAAGGGTTCCCTTTTTTTCAGGGGAAGCCAAAGCGAAAACGAAGCCCATTTTGGTAGATTCTGCCGTTTTGTAACAAACCCCATAGTGGTTTGCTTTTTTCGTAGAGGGTTCCCTTTTCGTGTAGTTTTGAACGGAAACCCAAATGGAATGTTGTGATTGGACAATGCCTCTGCCTCTGTCAGTTATACGAAGCAACTTCCTGGGTTGGCGAGCAAATGGGCAAACCCCACAAGTTCCCCGCAACAAAGGAACTGCACTGACTTCTTAGAGCCCCACAGCCTGTAATTTGTGAGGGAAACCCTTGTTTGTATTGGGGCACATCCAGATATTCCCAGAAACGGCTGTGCTACAACGCGTGGTTTTTAAGTAGCGCCCTACATCCCCAGCCCAGGTGCTGCAGATGGAGGGCGCCATTTTTATGGCGCAGACCCTGCAGATGGTGCTCCGGGACCAGGACAAGCACACGTTTCGCTCATCTTGTTTGGTGTATTTCGCGCTTCAACAGGGTGTGTCTCATAGAAATCGGTTTGGTTTCTTTTTGGTTCATCTACCTGAAGTTTCTTCCTTACGGGTGTTTCTCATAGCAATCGGTCCCGCAAAACAGTTGGTATCCTTTTTTGGTTTACCAAAAGAGGGACCACCGTTTTGAGGAACTCCCGAACGAATTTGTCGGGACCTCCCGTGTCTTCCAATCTGGCTGTTTTCATCATGCCCAAAATGCAGGGCTGTCTGTGTTTCTCCAAAGAAATCTGATTTGCGGATCAACGTGTAGAGCAATCCAGCCTACCTCCAGCACCTTGTTTTCGTCTTTTGAACTTACTTGGGGTTGGGAAGCCCGTTCAAAATTACCCAAACACGGGGATCCTGTTTTCCCCACCTCTGGAGTCTTCGGAAGCGAGTCGAGAAGAGCATTTCAAGTCCATAGAGAGCTGCAAGACATTCCACCGGAAGTTTGCCGCCAGCTCTGGCCGCAAACCGAAGCTAGGGGTTGTTCTAACCTTGCTCGACCTGATTCGCTGCCGAAGACAAATGTGCACAGATGCTTGATGCCCAGATGAATCCATGCCCCAGGGCTGTGTTGGCCGGGATTGCGCGGGAGCTCCTGCAGGAATTATGTTGGGGGTGCTGTAGGTTTGCTTGTAGTTTGCTGGATGTCGGAGATGTGGGTTAGTCCTTAGAGCATTCTTTCTGGAGCTAAGTTAACAGGGAAGCTAATAAGGTCTGGTCAAATGAGCAGTAGACTATGGTCCGTGGCGGGGCCTAGGACCAAGTTTCCCGCAAAATCCTTGGGAGTGATTCCATTTCCGTGTAGTACGTTTCCACCACCCTTGAAAACTGAGCAGGACGATGGCTGGTGATCTACCAAAGTCAAAGTGTAAAGGACTAAAAACTCGCCAATAGTATACTCCCATAATTAGAAACTGTGACTTAGCTATCATT